CTTGTACATGCAGTGCTGCCATCTTCCTTTTCAGTCCATTATTACACTCTTAAATCCTACTACTTATTCCTGCGTCTTTTGGGATCTTACAAAGCTTCAAATGACACGTCGACTATTAAATTAGTCGTCGGCGTAATCGTGACTAGTCAACATTATAAGGGAGAGACATGACACTCAGTCCCGAATAGAAATGTAGGGAAGAACTGAGTAACTGTGAAGAGGTTGGTTATTGAGTCCCTGCCTCCAAACCAGCCACAAAATGAGAGAACCTATTGGCCAATTGTGATGTGCTAACATAAGCACACAGCTGACGTTTGACAGTTCCACATGTGTGGTGGCAAGGGTATGTCACTACATATTATTGTAGCAGACAAGTAGGAAGGTGCTTTCTTACTTTTTGAGATAATATGAAGTGCTGTGTTGTTGTTATTTTTTTTAAAAATGTAATTGGTTTTTCTTCATTGGGATAACCAAAGGTGTTGATTGTGTTGGCTCTGTCAACCAAGCAATTAATGCCATAATTAGGGCTGCTCGATTATGGCAAAAATGATAATCACGATTATTTTCACTGAAATTGAGATCTCGATTATTTGACGATATTTATTTAACCCTTACGACCTACTATAGAACCAAGTCCGCCAGAGCTTATATTATTTTTTTACATGTTGTAGTGCCATTTGTGGGAGCATTTCAAGTTTCTATACAACTGTTATAGCCCATATTTTAATAATATGTATGCATTAAGTCCATAGTAACTACATTAATTGCAAAAAAGTGCAATAAACTACAAAAAAATTGAAAATAGTTTTTGTTTTGTTTTTTACATATATTTCTACTTGGAGAAATTTAAGAGGTTTATCCCTCAAAACTTTAAATACAAAAAAGTTGCAAAAAATAGTTTACAACAACAGGAAATCTATTTTGAGTGTCTTCATAGTTTTATTTTGGAGATACACTGCAGGAAAAACGAAAAAAACAATCCTATGATGCAAATTTGCAAAGAAAACAGCATGTGCATCAAAATAAACTATTTCCAGCAGTGCAATTCGAGTTCTAAGCATCCCAGAAACTATTCAGAAAAGTCAAACATGACTTATAAAAACACCAGTATAGGCTTTTAAAGCCTACAAGTAAAAAACTACATTTTCCGCGAAAATTATGTCACTTCCGGTTTCGGGCAGGAAATGGCGGACATGCGATAGTTCGCGCTGACGTCTGTTTCAATGTGGGAAGTGTTACGAACAGCTGATCGGATCGGCAAAGCGTGTTTCTGGAATATTATGTTTTTGTTCCTGCAAGCCCTTTTTATGCAACTTTTGCAAAGCTATATGTGGAAGGAAACCGTGACCGAGGACAAGCTGATGGCATAAGATGCAAGTACAACTCCTCTGGTTTCATATGCAAAAAAAAAAAAATATTGCGCTAGCTTACACGGTTCAGGTTCTACAGGGATTTAAAAATAGTTACACAAAACGGAGCATGCTGCTCTGACCGGCTTTAAAGGGTTAACAATAACAATGTATTGAATAATGACTTTAAATAATAATATAAAATAGTGTACAACACCACTGAGGTTTTTTTTTTTGTTTTTTTTTTAAACCTCTCTTTTCAACCAACGGCAGTCACTCTCCTCTCCAAATAACTTCTGCTTAGCTTTCCGAGCTTTTCGAGCTTCCCTCGGGTCCTCTTAATCAGCGGTCTCCAACCTTTTTTGCGCCAAGGGCCGGTTTATGCCTGACAATATTTTCACGGACCGGCCTTTAAGGTGTCGCGGATAAATGAGGGAGGGGCTAATAATCGGCTCAGTCATTTTTAATGATCGTTGAAAGCCCAGATCGTAATCGTGATTAAAATTCGATTACCGTATTTCCCGGACTACAGAGCGCACCTGAATATTAGCCGCACAAGCTAAAATCAGGGGAAAATCCTGTTTTGTACATACATTAGCCGCACCTGACTAAAAGCTGCAGGTGTTTCAATGTTGACTCATCATATGTAAGAGAATATGCACAAAGCGAATTGTCAGGAAAGAGACGGCTGTTTGGAGACATCACTTTTATTAATATTTTGAAAAACAAGTTATGGGTGCATATTTGCATAACTTTTTAGGTATATGTACAAGTAGCGGTAATTACAAGTACGAAACATGTACTGTGCTTCATAAATGAGTAACAAATGTAGTACATAATAACCTACAGCACACCAGAAAAATAGATTCGGACTACCTTTTAGGCTCAGGTGCAGTGACACTGTTTTAACAAGAAGAAAAGTCAGTCATTCACCACCATCTTTCTCTTCTTCCTGCGCACTAAAACCACCAAAGTCCTCTTCTCCAGTGTCGGATACAAACAGGCTCAGGATGGCTTCGTCATCCACTCTCCGCTTCTCTCCTTCGTTGTCACTTTCAAAACCAACCAAACAAATCCTCTTTGTCAGTTTCAGAGTCGAACACCCTCAGAAGGGCCGTGGCGGTGTCCTCCTCTCCATCATGTAACAGTCCAGCCCTTCGAAATCCGTTGGTGATCGTGGATGTTTTCAAACTTTTCCACGCTGTCAGAATCCAATGGTGGAGTTGAGCATAACTTGCTTTTCGCAAGTTTATCGCCGCTCGTCATCCACGCCTCCCGCTGAACGCGTAGTGCTACTTTGAAGTTTGCTTTTCGCGCTACTTCGTACGGCACTACGTTGCCTGGCGGATGGACATGTGACCAACATACCACTCTTGAACCCCGATCCTTCCGCCAGGCAACGTAGTGCCGTACAACAGCGGAACAAACAAAACAAATCCGCTCACGGACAATCCATAGAAAAGCCGCACCTGACTAAAAGCCGCAGGGTTCAAAGCTTGTGCAAAAAGTAGCGGCTTATAGCCCGACAATTACGGTAATTGAGCAGCCCTAGCCATAATGATGTGCAAATTGAAGTTATATTTATTTTTTAAAATGACATTTGGCTGGTGATTCAGTAGATATTTTTTTTTTTATTTTCAGGTGACTATTGAAATAAAAGGTTTTATGGAGAGGTTCATTTAGATGGGGTCTCAGCCTAAGTTAGCGCCCAGATGTGTAAGCGGTAGTCGGGATGTAGTTCAGTTCGTTTCATTTTGAAAAAGGTTAGTTCAGAATCGTGTTTATTGGCCAAGTATATGTGCAGACACATACAGGGAATTTGGTTCTGGTAGATGGTGGCTCTCAAGCACAGCAATGTAAATCTCACACACACACACATCTATATACACACATTACACATACATACACAAAGCTGTGTAAACAACTATAAATAACGAATCTAAACTTGTATACATAAAATACAAAAATGAAATGAGGTGGAATGAATACTACAGAATAGGGCTGCCACAAACGATTATTTTGATAGTCGACTAATCAGATCATCATCCATTGGACGTAAAACGTACAGCATATTGCACCAGCAGCATCTGCTCATATATAACTATCATTAGCTTACAGCTTTAAGTGTTTAAGGTATGTGCTAACTAAAAATAAAGACAGGATGATAGTTTATTACATTTTAATGAATTTTACAGATTGTTTCGGTGAAGTTTAATAAACTCCTTGCTATCTAAAATATAACAGGACACCGGAGTAAATTCTCGAGCATCTCACACTTCTGATAATCAGCTGTCTGCTTGACGTTTATTCAGCTGTGTAAAAACTATAACTTTAATCTCAGCCAAACCGATTTACTCAGGAACAAATAAAATACAAAAAAAAGCCAAACAATAACATGTTTAAGTTATCTAAGTGACTTATGTATGTTTAACCTGAGTAGCGAAAGAAGGCGGTGGGTTTGAAAACGATTTGCCGGGAATCCGGTGTTCTCACGGGCTCTAGTGAGCCTAGCTAGCTATCGAGCTAGTGGGTAACAGACGTCTCCGAAAACGTCGGCGCGCTTTTGAAAATATGTGGCGTCTTGATAAACTGAGCAAATATTTGAGGTTTACACAGCTACGTTTATTTTGTGACCCAGAAAAGAATAATAAGAGTAATTTTAAAACTAACTAACTAGCTGCCGCCGTTGTTGGAAATTGAGCTGGGCTGCGCTATGAATTCTGGGACACAGCTTCTTCTTCTTCAGGGTTTAACGGCAGCTGGCATCCATGCAGTGCTGCCCTCTTCTGTTTCAGTCCGTTATTACACTCTTAAATCCTACTACTCATTCCTGCGTCTTTTGTGATCTTACAAAGCTTCAAACGACGCGTCGACTATTACATCAGTCGTCGACGATTTTGATAGTCGACGTAATCGTGACTAGTCGACTAATCGTGGCAGCCCTACTACAGAATGTACATAAGGTGCAGTTGCAGTCTGGCAGTGGGAGCAGTGTGACAGGTCAACTGTTAAGAAGGGAGATGACGAGGGGAAAGAAACTGTTCCTATGTTGGGTGGTCCTGGTCTGCAGGCTTCTGTACCGTCTGCCAGAGGGCAGCAGATCAAAAAGTCTGTGTCCAGGGTGTGAGGGGTCTGTGATGATTTTCCCTGCCCGTTTCCTGATTCTTGAGAGGTACAGATCCTTCTAGTTCTGCTCAATCCACCCACTATTACTCTAAACCTTTAGGTGTGTGGTACAGAAAGAACGGTTGATTTGCTCATGGTATTTCCTCCCATCTGCAGCTCTTCAGACAAGAGACATGATGCCCCTTTTTGTCTTTCTTGTTTGTTCTCCTGTGTGCACCTCTAACTAGGGAAGGGGAGATGAGAGAGATGGCGACAGAGACTGAGGAATTTATTTCCCACTTACAGCATGAAGAAAAAGCTGGAAAGCAAAGAATCATATTCAGCCACATTTACATGTAGCTTTACATTCCACATTCCTAAACACATAATGGGAACAGTAACCTGCATCATCTAATGTAATGTTTGTTTCTTGTATGGTCAAAATTGATGCTCTTTGTTACTGCCATTTTACCCAAGTGTTACCTGTGTGATCAGAGAATGTCATGTCAAAGTCGCACTTATTCAAATATGGCATTCTGTTTTCAGGTGAATGTCCGCCAAGGACAGACTGTGCATGAGATTCTAGATAAAGCGCTCAAAGTGAGAGGCCTGAGCCAAGAGTGCTGTGCTGTATTTCGCCTTCTAGGAGGGTAAGATTGCACTGCTGTTTGTGCCACGTCCTCTCACATCATATTGGAAAATGACTTTGCATTCCTTTTAGCCCACATGAAACTCTGAGAGGCAACAGTGAACAGCTGTCACAAGACTACATGTTAGACAAACACATGTATATAACAGAGGCTGAAGATGTAATGTGAAGTTGATTCAAAGGCTGAAACGGTAGAAAAGTCAATATGCATTGATAAACAACTAATATACAATTAATTATTCATTGTGTATTTTTTTTTTTTTTTTTGTTACCATAATGCATTTGAAGGGTTTCCTGTGTAACGATGGGTAACATTCCTATGCTTCATTAAATATTAAAACAGTCTTAACAAAGGGAAAGAATCACTGACCTTCTGTTCAAACTTTAGCTACGCTACTAGAATCTCAGGATAAAAGTTGGAAATGACCATGAAAGATCCACTTTAAAGAGAAAAATGAATGAAAGTAAAAATTTTACTCTAGCTGTCTGTGAACATTCAACAGCTTAAAGGTAGAATTTGTAATTTAGCAGTTTTGATGCTTCAACATAGTTGTAAACTGTTTTCTCGCACCATAAACAGTTGTTGACATTTCTGAGAAACTCATTGATATACAAATTAAGTGCATTGGTCAATTAGGATAATGAAGACCTCTCCGTTGTTGTTTTTTTGTTATCTTAGCCATTTTAAACCTTGAAAGGGGTTTCAATATTGGTGATATGTACAAAGAGTGTTTAAATTGCTTCTAAATGTTCCTTTTTTTGCCCCTCTAGTCGAAAAAGACTGACGGACTGGGACACAGACATAACTCCTCTAGTTGGAGAGGAGCTTTTAGTTGAGGTCCTGGATGATATTCCCCTGACCATGCACAACTTTGTAAGTATCTCACATACCTGTGTATAAAATGTTCATAGCTTATGTGAAATACCTTTTGTTCATATGTTTTTGGCCTGTGATACTCTAATTGAATTGCTGCTGTTTTTAGCCTTGATGGTCTTAAATGTTATTACTGCAAAGTAAATTTCATGAACTCTATCTGTATAGGTACGCAAAACTTTCTTCAAGCTGGCTTACTGTGATTTTTGCCACAAGTTCCTTTTCAATGGCTTCAGATGTCAGACATGTGGCTACAAGTTTCACCAACACTGCAGTAGCAAGGTCCCCACCGTGTGTGTGGACATGGATACTATAAGAGAGCGGTGAGTTGGAGTAGTGTTTATCGTTGGCTGTACCAGATGCTTTGCTGGTAATATTTCACCAAGAGAAGGTGGCTAGTTGGAAAATAAGTCCTATTTTTAAGGAGGGCCACAATTCTATGGATTCAGACGATATTTTCCAGACTTTGCAACATGATGTCGACATACAGGCCATACAGTTTTTTGTTGTTTTTTTAATTTGTTAGTTGTTGTGTTTTTTATAGCTGCCATGTTGCCCTGTAATTTTGATTACAGTGGCTGAGATGAACATTGTATTCTGGTTAATCATGTTTTATGTAGAGACATACATAGTAAGCCTTTTGTGATCTTTAAAGGCTTACTATGTAAGCCTTTAAAGATCACAAAAGGCTTTTAAATGCTCTTTCCTCATTTCCACCTCATCCTCTTCACCTCAAGCCTCATCTCCTGAACTGCAGTCAAGGCTCTAGCACACAAAAACATGCAAAAACATGCTTCTTTATTCCCAATATTATTGCAATTACTTATTGTAATTAGACTCCAGACAGCTGACTGCCAACTAAACGGCTGGTTATAAGAGTTGGCCAGCTAACGTTAGACTGCAGTGTCCTAAAAATCACACTTTCCTTCTGATAAACAGTTTGAGTGTATTCTCCTTGTGTATAGGAGTTTGTCCGCTAAATGTTTAAGTTCAACAATGTTGGATCCACTTCAAAGAGAGTTTCTCTAAATGCTAACAGCAGCGTTTACAAAAGAAAAGGTCAGGATATGTGTGTGAAGGTTCTTGGTCATCCTGGTCATTGTCGTCTAAGGAGCTGTGAATTGAAGAAGCTTCTCGGATCAGAGGTGAAACGTCTTCCAAGAAACTCAAAGTTCGGACGTTTTTCTTTCCGAGCTCCTTAGTTCAGGATATCCTCAACAACTCACTCAACTCATATTGGCCTCTTTCACTGTCTTAGCTGACTAACACGTTTCTCCTAGAACAGCCAACGTAGCTAGGATTATGAACTTGAATTGGGAGGGTTAAAAAAACCAAAAAAAACCCCAACAACAACATTTAGTTGACTGCAATCTGCCATCTACTAAAATCTAATGATTTTTACACACTGTAATTTTCCTTCTGCACTCTTAAAATAGTCTTTTACTTTAGTCTTTGTAAATAACTTTATTGGGACTGATTGATTAGAGCAGGGCGATATGACCAAAAATATTTATCACAATATACATTTGATAACGATATAATTGACACTAGACAAAATACTTTACAACTCCACAACTTTGATGGGGTTTTTTTTTTGCTCTAATAATTTATTTTCACTTAAAAAAAAAAACAAAAAAACAAACAAAACAAAAACAGCTGCCTGTTTATGTGCGTTCTCTAGTTAAAGTTAAAGGCAGTGGAAATTGGCTGACATATAACCATGTATAATATCCACAAAACTTAGAAAGAGGTTATACACACACAATACGGTAATATTATGTTGACGCACAGTACGTATCACTCCGAGGCTCCTACCTACGATAGCCATAATGCTCCAACAATCCATCAAGCGGTGCGGGTTCGTAGCTTAGCAAAGTCGTACTAAAACATTTGACAGATTTTTCCAGCGCCGTGTACCACATAAAATCGTTTCGAGGTCAGTAAACACAACCAGAATTCATAAAGCACAAGGGATTATAAGGGGCACTGTTGATTTTCAGAAAAATCAAAGGATTGATTTTAAGTGCCGTATTTTCCAAAAAACACGGTAATAACGACGGTCCGCTAGCATGCGCTACCAAAAATAGTGCTTTGTCGTGTATCTGACAGACAAAAGCTAAACCAGTGCCACACCACTGAAGTTGCAGCATTTTTACAAACCAATTCTGGTTCATCCGTTTTATTCAACGATCCGCTTTCGCCCTTCTCATTCTCCGTCGCCGCCCTGCTTTTTCCACCATGTGCGTATGAAAACAAAGGCACAAACAAACAAAAAACAAAGTTTTACCCATATTCTATCGCGGTATTTCATTTTCTTATCGTTGCCGAACGTTATACCAGTGTTAACGTGAACGGTATGATATGGCCCAGCCCTAATGATGTTGAAAAACAATTAAAACACCTGAAGTTCTTAAAATTCAGAACAGTTTCAGGGAAAAATGGAGATATACGGACCATCTTTTTGTGATGTGCCTAGATGATCAGATTCAGACTTGACATTAAAAAAACGGTGCAAATATGCACTTACTAAATTATTTAGTACTAAATAACAGAAATTTTGCACATAATTGGAGCCTGAATAGTATGAAACTTCTGTGATATTGTTTAATTGTTTTCTTTCAATCCTATGTCCAGTTCTGATCCCAGTCCTTGCCCAGATGGATACCCACAGATAATACTGCCAGAAAATTCCCCCACGCAGAGCAACCCAGCCTTAACCCCAGAGCCTTCTGGGTAAGCTGGGCAGATGGCGTTCTATCAAAATTGCAGCATTGCTTTATTTTGTGAAATGTATATTTTAATCAAAATTTTGGCCTTCTTTCTTTTTGCTCAGAATGGGCCACCTGTCCCCATCCCCGTCCTCAACCTTTCACTTCCCCATGTCAGGCGGAGATGGTCAGTCTCTACAGAGGCATCGCTCCACATCTACTCCCAATGTTCATATGGTCAGCACATTGGACCCTGCTTCTGCCATGATTATAGAGGTCGGTGTTGGCTGCTTGTTTGCTTTTGCTTGAAGGATTGTCACCTCCACTGTGTATTCATCAAAATAACTTTGTTGCATATCTCCTCTTAGGAAGCACTAAAGTTCAACAACACAATAGGTATGCTTTCCATTTTTCCCCCTCTCTTCTGTTTTAGAATACATTTGTTATTCTATGTATGACACTTATGTTGTGCTGTCTCTTGTTGCTGCAGGTCCTGAACCCTCACCTAAGCCCTCCACCAGCCCGCCCTCTTCTTTTGGCTCTCCAGGGAAGAAGCCACCAAAGTCCCCTTCGGAACCCAGGGAGCGCAAGCCCTCGTCCTCTGATGACAAAAAGAAAGTGGTAGGGTGTCTTTAACATTGTTCACAGGCCACTGGTCACTTTACATATTCACAAGGGCAACCTTTGAATGCATTGAACTGCTATCTCTTTTTAACAAATTTAACAGTCAATCTGTTGTTTCAGCACCGAGGAGGCAACAGAGATTCAAGTTACTACTGGGAGGTCCACTCTCGAGAAGTCAACATCCAGAAGAGAATAGGTTCTGGCTCCTTTGGAACTGTCTTCAAGGGAAAGTGGCATGGAGATGTGGCAATCAAGATCCTCAAAGTCAAAGAGCCAACGCCTGAGCAGTTACAAGCCTTTAAAAATGAAATGCAGGTGTTGCGGTGAGCAGTGGTTTACATGACTTTAACTTGGTTTTATTTGCACAAATCTTTCCACAACTGCTGCTGGTGGTGGAGTTATTAATAATGATAATGATATTAGTATTATTAACGCTGCATAAACTGGTTTTATTAACACCAGTTCACATTGTTATAGCACTTTAATTTAACTCTTAACAATGTGGTGACTATAACTTTCTGACTGCGGATGAGGTAATGGAATTTCTAAGTTTCACTATTTCTGTTCTCTACAGGAAGACCCGCCACGTCAACATCCTGCTGTTCATGGGCTTCATGACTAAGCCCAACTTTGCCATCATCACACAATGGTGTGAAGGCAGCAGCCTGTACCGCCATCTGCATGTCTTAGAGAGCAAGTTTGATACTGTGCGTCGCATTGATGTGGCCAGACAGACAGCACAGGGCATGGAGTAAGACTTGCTGCAATATTCCATTTCACCATCATCACTTAGTCAGGCCAAGTAGCAGACATAAAGTCTTTTTGTAGTGCAAGAAGCTCATTCTGTATACAAATGTTTGGCACCCATGAATTTAATTTACTAGTTTTCAAATTGGGTTTTTTTGCTTTTTCTTTCAGTTATCTTCATGCAAAGAACATAATTCATCGAGATCTAAAATCAAACAGTATCCTTCTCTTGTGCATGGTGTACATAAGTGCAGTCATTGTGTGTTTCTGAGTTTAGATAGCTGTACCTTTTTAACCCGTAATCACACGTGCTAATTTGAGCCTCATGCTCTGCAGTTATTAAAGGTTTAACAACACACAAAAAGCATTTCCTTTTAATAGACAGTGATATACAGAGCAGCCAAACCATTAAAACTGTGATGTGTCAGTACTCTTTAACACAAGAAACAAACTCTATGCTGACTCTTACCTTGAAGACACCTCTCCCTTGTTTTCATGAAGAGGCCAATTTTAAGATGATACGGTGCATCGCTGCTGTCAGGGACAAACATTTGAATTTGAAACTGAGGTATTAAATTTGAGTTTGTCGAGTCATTCCACACTGTCAGGTGGACATTTCTTTGTTTCCCATTGTTTACTTTGGGTAGTTTCCTCTGTCAGTCTCACTTTTTATAACTTCTTTCTTGTGAAATGTTTATGCAGTAACTGATACCATGAAAACGTCCAGCAGCTGTCTGTTGTATTTTTCTGAGATTTGCTGCCAGATATTTTTCTCCATGAGGGCTGGACTGTTAAAATCGGTGACTTTGGCTTGGCTACAGTGAAGGCTCGATGGACTGGCTCTCAGCAGGTAGAACAACCCAGCGGATCCATTCTCTGGATGGTAAAGATACTTAACATGTTTATTGTAGAGCTCAGAGTCTATATGACATTTTAAGGCCAGTAGGGGGAGCAGTTTTTGAAAAGATTTTGGGTTTTATAGAACACTAGAGCAAAATGAGCCTCTGCTCCTTTGTATGAGTACTCAATTCTGTTTCAGATGAGTTCTTGGGCTAAATTGCTAGTTTCAAGTCCTATTAAATTTGAAAATTTCAGTTTAAGTTCAGCATACAGAATCTCTTGTTTTGCCAGTCGGATCCACCTGTCCTCGTGACATTGATTTTAAAAATCCAACATGGCAGCAGCTAGAACATTTAACTTGACTCTTGATTACATGGTAAATGGACTGATTCTTATATAGCGCTTTTCTACTCTCCGGAGTACTCAAAGCGCTGTATACAACATGCCTCATTCACCCGTTCACATAAGCACTTCTAAACACAAGTGCAAACTAATCTACATTCACACTCCGATGAACGCATCCGAGGGCAACTTGGGTTTAGTATCTTGGCCCAAGGATATTTGACATATAGATTGGGGAAGCCAAGGATCGAAGCACCAACCTTCCAATCAGTTGCTGATCTGCTCTACCACCTGAGCCACAGCCACCCGTACATGAACTGTGGCTGTGTCTTCTTTCACCTTCAGTCTGACATTGCCCTTACTTAAATTGTTTTCTACGAGGGAGCTTTTTTTCCCTCCTAACTAGTTACTAAAGACCAATGGCTCTGTCTGAAATCTAATGTGTTTAAGTCCCCACTGATACGTCGCTATGCCGACAGACATAACAAACTGCAGTGTCGGTCATTAGTGTTATTACTCCTCGGTTCTAGCTTGGCAACAGTGTTGATCCTGCCCGTGGCCACAATTGGCTGATTATCCAGCTTCCCACAGCACTCATTGGGCAGGTTCCTTTTTCTATTGGGACTGTTGTGTCATGTCACAGTGCCACATGTCAGTCAAGTTGGTGGAGTTGACTGAAATCATGCACCAAAGAGATGTCAGGTTCTGACTGTGCTGGGTGCCACACACCACAAAAAAACAGTTTTGGTAAAGAAATTGTTGATCTTTAGTAATACTTTTACATCATGTCATTCTTCAGCTGCTGATACTTGCAAAATGAGCGGTTGATGCATACTATTACCGATGCATGTTAATGTTGTCCTTTATAACCTGTGTACATCTTGAGTCTTGACAGGTTAAGTTATATTGTTCGTTTGACGACTTTTCTTGAAAAGTGATTACTGTAAATAACATCAAGTCACATCTGTATCATTAACTGTAAAGCAGAATAATAGAAATATGATGGTTTTTCATTGTATATTGGAACCCTGGAAGTTTTCCATCCACTTGTTTAAACACTGTAAAGGTCACACGCACATTATTTGATAGACCCTATATCCATACATGCAGTTTTTATGTACAAGGGTTTGTAGTGTATTTGCTTCTAATCTGGTTAAGTCACAACATCTTTACAAAAAGCTAAATTAGTGTAATCGGTAGTGTTAAAGTACCTCTTTGTCAGTTTTTAATTCATTTTTTCCTCTCTCCTCTCATTAGGCTCCTGAGGTGATCCGCATGCAGGACACAAACCCATACACGTTCCAGTCAGACGTATATGGCTACGGAGTAGTTCTGTTTGAGCTGATGTCAGGAACCCTGCCTTACTCCAATATCAACAACAGAGACCAGGTTCCATTACCCAGTTTATTCTAGTTTATGTTAACACACAACACTGAGTCAGTCTAAAATATCTGACTGACTCTTTCTGAAGATTTTGTTAATTACTATTAACATTAAAAATATAGCCATAGAGTAAGTCACAGTTCCAAAAAACTAACAAATATTAGTAGAGTTCAGTAGATAAACTGTTAAATGTAACTCTGAATTAAATAATTCATCTGGAACACATGAAGCAAATTTTGTGTGACTTGACTTGTGGCCCAGTTTCTTAAGCTGTCTTCAGACCTTTGATGTAATACTTACGTTTGTTCTGTAGCTCACCTTGTTCGGTCCTCTTTTTCTTTGTCAGATAATCTTCATGGTTGGACGTGGTTACCTGTCTCCAGACCTCAGTAAGCTGTATAGTACCTCACCCAAAGCAATGAAGAGGCTGATCGTCGACTGCCTGAAGTTTAAACGTGATGAAAGGCCCCTTTTTCCACAGGTCAGTCTTGTATGGTTTATCGTTTATCACTTTAATAAAAAATATCCTGCAATGTTAAAATGTCCTGTGACTCGACATTCTAAGGGCTTTCTTTAAATTTAACTTGAAACTTTTACTTTATCCAAAACTTTTGGCGACAACTGGGTTCTGTCAGAAAGATGATCATTTATTGTAGGGATCGAACCACCAACCTTCCGATTAGTAGTTGACCTACTGTACTGCCTGAGCCACAGCCACTCCTCTGTATCAATCTAAAGAGGATTTGTTTTTGGAAGAATTTAGGTGAACATAAAGACCTGGAGAAATTTTTGATGTAAAGCAAGATACAGCAGGACTGTAGGCCACCAGTGAGGAATCTTGCACAGGATGCTTTAATGAAAGTTCTGGAAAAGCAAATCGGAGTGCTCAATACAAATAATTTGCAAGACATGGACGTGTCATTGTAGTTGCCTGTAAATTCATACTATCCTTTAAATCAGGTGACTGCCAAACCATATGCAATGTAGTTGCGTAATGTTGACAAAACTAGTCTGTAATTTTCCTAATATTTCTGTCCTTCCTCAGATTCTGGTGTCCATTGAGCAGGTGCAAGATTTGCTGCCGAAAATCGAGCGGAGTCGCTCCGAGCCGTCGCTCCATCGAGCTGTCCATGCTGAGGACCTGAACCCCCTCCTGTTCCACACCACCAGGCTCATGCCCCTCTAAGCTCTCCACAGCACACAGCAAAGAGGCCGCCAACCTGTCAAGGACCACAGCATTCCAGTGCCTCAAAGAGGCCACAGCTGGCTGCTCTCCACCATTGTGGAGCTGCAGCTCTCAGCAGCAAAACTCAGTAACAGACTGTAGAAGTAACCTTAGTCTGACAGTGAATTTTTTTTTTTTTTTTTTTTTTTTTTTTTTTTTTTTCCTTCAACAAATGACACGCACATGCCCATCAGGTGAAAGAAAGACCTTCTGTTTGTAGACATGTGTAAAATGTCTGCTCTTGCCAGCTGAGAAAGTCAATCGACATCTCGACTTGTATTTGGCTCTTAGACCTGCTTTGGAGTTTCAGTTGTTCTAAAGAAACTCACATGGTTGCACATACAGTGCAAAAGAGTCTAATTCAGATCTTTGAGGACTTAAATCAGTCATGGAGCTGGAGCCACTGGTTCAAGTCACATGATCCACTTACATACTCCATGCTCAGCGGGCATGTGCCCCTTTCACTGTAACACAGCATAAATGGAATGGGGACCTGAGATGTAACGCCACTCATTTGAAAGCAACTCTTTTTGAATACGTGCCTGACGTGATATGTTTTGTAAAAGGTTAGATGTTTGCCCCCAGTGTGGACTTTCAGCATTTACTGGTCTTGCAAATATCTATACAAGACCTGGCAACTTAGAACACTGAACTATGCAAAGAAGTTTATGGGAAAAAAATGTATACCAGTTGCTCATTTAACCTGTTATAGTCTTTTGCTGTACATGAAGCAAAGCAGTGAAAGGCCTGGAGGTAGATATTTTCTTTCACTAACATAAAACATAAATGTATCTTGTCAGGTAGATATTCTTCAAATAGGAACTTTGAAATTCACTAAATTCATCTGAGGATCAAGTTTCCATTGATGCTGTTTGTGGGGGGATGGAAAGTCAGTGAGAAGGGCCTGGCAGAACTGGCTGCATGTCCAAATTTAAACATTACAAATTACAGTTTGAGGGTTTGAAAGTTATCCCATTCCTTAAATCCTGTGTTTAGTCTTAAGAATGTGCTGTTTCAAACAAACTTTTAGTAAAAGCAGTTGCCCACCCCTCTACCCTTTTCAAGTCCTGAAACATCACCTAACTTGTGTCACTTACCAGGCAACACTGTGATACTTTTAATGTTCCAAGTCCACTGAACACGGGGACTAAATGGTTAGGATCAATACTTCAGCAGTGGATGTTATTCATTTCTAAACCAAAATGTTTTCCAAAGTGAGATGTTAGTCAGGTCATCAGAGGACATTGTTGTTAGAAATGTACAGATGTAGTTTCAAGGGCTCAACAGATGGCTCATTTCAATTCCAGGTGTAAACTGAGGTTTCCATGTTGAGGCACGCACCTTACAGCTCTCACACTGCAGGAACAGCAGAGTGCCAGCCTCTGCACCACATGGGCTTAAGTGGTTTGTTGTATTGCTGCTACATATTGTGAGTGTTTTGTACACCTTAAAGATTGAATTGCTTGGTACACAGCTTCAGCAGTGTTGGCTAGTTTTTCCACACTCCAGAGGTCCATTCTCCAATGCTGCAGTCCCTCGTCCATAGTTCACTCACACATGTCCGCATATTCTCAAAATATTTCTATAGGTGTGGGGCATGCCTTAAAACTGTGAGAACCTTGGTTGATTAGTTGTTCTAATTTAGGCTTGAAGAGGTGTGTACATTTTTCACAAAAGTGAGATCACATCTAAAGGCAAATGTGCAAACTCTGTTGTGATGGCCACAAATCTACTCTGAAGAAATAGCTGAATTATTAAAATCTGTAGTATTCAGAGAACAGAACAAATGTCAGGGTTGTCTAGTTTGCTCGTCCAGCCGTTTGTATGTTACCCACCAGGAGATTGCTTTAAGCTTGTATCCAGTTGATTTTTCTTTGGTGGGATGCTCACTTGTTATGAATGAAAGCCCTGCATTTTATTTTCCTGAGATTGAATTAGTTGCCGCACAGCAAGAAGGTCCTGAGTTCAATTCCACTATCAGGCCGTGTGGAGTTTGCATGTTCTCCCCATGTTTGCGTGGGTTCACTCCGGGTACTCCGGCTTCCTCCCACCGTCCAAAGACATGCAGCTTGTGGGGATGGGTTAATTGGATAATCTAAATTGCCACTAGGTTTGAATGTGAGTGCGAATGGTTGTCTGTCCCTGTGTGTTGGCCCTGTGACAGACTGGTAACCTGTCCAGGGTGTACCCCGCCTCTCGCCCTATGACAGCTGGGATAGGCTCCAGTGCCCCCCGTGACCCTGAAAATGATAAGCGGAAGTGAATGGATGGATGAATTAGTTGAATATTTACTCGCCTCTGTGCTTGTAACACACCGAGGCGGCTCGGTCCTGCTTCATGATGTCTTTCAAAGAAATACGCATGTGCTCAGGGTTCAGCTGGGCTGGTTTAAAAGCTAGTAGCCTTAGCTGGTGATCAGTGATAGTGTGTGGCCTTGTTTTGGGGGTTTGTGGAGAGAGAGAGAGAGAGAGAGAGATATCTAGATAGATATCTAATTTGTTTTTTTATTTTTGCCCCTCTTTCAGCCCCTCATTTTTGCTCATTGTAATACTGGTGGGAAATATTGTCTTAAAAAGCCTTTACTCATCTTTACTTAAAGCTTATCAGCCACAACAATTTCATTGCCATCAACAAAAAGCAGGATACTGAAGATCAGCCACTGCTCTTCTTCAGTGTAATCCTTTGTAGATTTGTAGTACTGACTAATGAAAGAAATGGAAGCGATAGTCATATCTACAGAACCTTTAGTTTCTCCTTCAGCTGGACTGTTAGCATCTTCGGGCTAGTGCTCACAGGTTGACCTGACAATGCAGTCACTCAAAGCAGATTTAATCCATAGTAAATTAAGGGCACAGACGCAACCCTCTCTGTGGTGATTTTGGTGACTTAACAGTAGGGGATCAGGAGCCATGCCTCCTGGTCTGTCCTAACAGTGCTGTATTCTGAGGCATTGACTCTTGCTGGTCGGGTCTCGCCCAAGTGAAGGCAGTAGGTGTGAGGTGATGTTTCAGGCTTCTGTGAATCCTGCAGGTGATGTGACAGACATGAAGCAAAACTCCTGTTGATGCAGATGTCTGTCACTAATGAACTGCTAATTTAATATTCTCATGTTAATCTAGGGGCTGGGTACCCTGACTGATGCTCATTCCAGTTATGTGGTGGGTGTGGGAGAGGTTTTGTGGTGGGCTTTTTTTGTTTTGCTTTCTTATTTATTGATGTTATCGCAGATGTTAATCTGCAAGTACAGCACTCTGAAATGGATCAGATGTTTACTGGGAATGTTTATCTTTGAAATGTTCATCAGCACCAGGCGCTCTCTCGCTTTCTTGTTTTTCTCTCAAACATTCTCAACATGAATGTATGTTTCGGCGCGGTACTGTTGGCTCCTCTGTTCACTCGGACTCTGTCAAATGCAGGGGCATTTCTAGCAACTTTGCTTTCACACATCCTGAGCACAAATGGGTGTCAACATTTTTTTTTTCTTTTTTTTCTTCTTCTCTAAGCAAGATGTTGTCCATGGGGTTTCACTACAATAGCAACACTTAGGGAACTGTAACTAACGGGTATTTGAATGGCCTGAAGCTGCTGAATGAAATCTTTGTTTTTCTTTTTTTCTAAATGAGCTGCTTTTTATAAACATTCAGAAAAAGCAAAACTTTTTTTTTTTAAACCACAATATAAGATCAGGAGTGCTTTGGTATAACGTCAGCAGACCAGGTTTTCTGTGCATCTGTAAAAAGTAGAGTGGGTTTGGAGAGCTTATTGAACCATTTTGTGCTCAGTTTCACATTGAGGGGATGCCTCCCGAACGTCTTCATCTGGAGGATGAGGGAACAGGTGCCACATCTCTGTTCAAGTGGACCTGAACAGCTTCAGGAAACACGAGATTCTCATCTGGAGACTCAAAGGGGCACCATAATATGGGGGAAGAGAGGCACTGCGACTGTTTCAGAGGATGAGAGCTGTGTCAGAGTAGTTTCTTATTTTATTTTATTGTCTTTTCATATCTGTAGGTGAGTTGGAGTACTTGTCTATAGTTTCTGAGGTGTCAGGGGTGTTAATTTGCAATAAATAGTGTTTTCTGCTGTGTACAGTCTGTTTCTTTTTTGTTTTCTTGTTACTGTTTTTGTGATTTCAAAGAGAACAATTATTTTAACATGTAAATCATTTTTTTTCTTAAGGGTTGTGTGTGTGTGTGTGTTGTGATCAGTAATGATGCAGGATTTATTCTTGAAATAAATGAATTCATCTGTAACTTGTTGTTTTTAGCTTTCAGTACAATCAGTGGAATCTTGTTTGTCTGTTTTGGGACACAGTTCGTTTCATCAGCTTACCAAGTGAAACATTTAACTGGTTTTTAAACGATGACCTCTCGACCCGCTTAAGCTTAAAACGAAATCTTGTTCAGGGAAACTCGCTGAACAGGGTCAAAAGAGGAAGTGGTTATTTTTAAGGCTCCACCACAGATCAGTAAACGGCAAGCTATAAACAGGAAGTCATCTGACAGCAAGATTGTTCAGAAGTCTACAGAACACTGTTTATGCTCTTTATTTTTATAAAGTTAATTGATCTCCAAACGTTGATTGTGTTCATCTGGACGTAGCGTTTTGTGGGAGAAACGTTTTGTCACTCATCCAAGTGACTTCTTCAGTCTCAGCTGACTGCAGGTTAATTGGATGTTTCCAAATTTGTTGTCAGTAAGTAGTTTATTAAAGACTAGTACAAAGGTAATATTTTACAGAAACTGTTTTAAAAAGTTGACAGACCTTAAGATAAACTTGGCACCAAGCAAGTTCTGTACAAAACTGAACTCAGCACACAGCTTCACCTGAAATGGAGTAGTGCACTAAAGGTCAAAGGTGCCAGAATTTACAGTTATACTTTATATTCAGGTACATAAACAGGTTTAAGCTTTAAGCAAGAGTTTAGAAAAATAGTTTTGTCATTTTAAGGAAGTTTTTCCAGAAACTTTCCCTCTAGTTCCTAAAGAACTTTACAGTGATATTTACTGTAAAATGGGAAGATCATGTTTGAAGGTATTCAGAACTTGTAGCCCAGTCCAGATCTGCTAATGTGGCAGAACAGTGTCATGGCAAAGCACATTCCCAAAACCTGTAAACAGAAATATAGAAATTAAACTGGAAAAGGACATAAAATGCAATGTTGTACTGTTTTAAAAAAAAAAAAAAGTTATTCTGAGCTTCTCAAGCTGACTGAAATTTCATTGGGTTTATGCTTGTTTATATGAAGTATTTTTATTCCTTTTGCAATCTAAAGAGTGGTCTTTTCTTCCCCGATCCATTCTAGAGCTGTGTTTTTGGGTGTGGCAGTGGACATTGTCCAGCTGGAGGCCCACTTTGGTAAGTGGGAGGGGAGCAGATCTTGGGCTGTATCCCAATTCAGGGTCTGCAGCCTTAAAGTACGCAGCCTCAACGATCCTCAAGGGCCGCGCACTTAAAGACTGCTAAGGCCGGAAGTGCGAGGCTTGTGAAATGGGACGGTCTAGCCTCCGTTGCGCTGCCCAGGTTGCCTAGCAACCATGATACTAACAGCTAGAAACGTTTCATACAGCTTTGTTTGACAGAAATGAAGGAGAAAATCGTTTGTTCATTTGTTTGTTTGTTTCTACATGAGCTTTGATCATTCTCTGTAAGATTAAGGTCAGCTATTGAATGGCGTAAATTTTAAAGTAAAGGGTTTAAAACCAAGTTAGTACAAACGTCACTAATGTCACATAACTTTGCCGACATGTGGCCAACAGTAATGTTTTAATGTTCTTCGTTATTAAACATTTGCACATAAATAAGTGACATAATATTCAGTACTTAGTTTACTAAGTTACTCTTCGGGCGCCCCTCATCCGCCGTTTTTTTTCCGGCAAAATTATCCACACCGACCACCGCGCTATGCATTCTGGGATATGTTGGGCCACGAAGTCTACACCGCCACGTCCTTAAAATTCAGGGAAATGAAGGACTCATTTGAGGGCCGCATTTCGAGCAGCCTTTGAATTGGGACAGTCTTCGTCGCGTCGCTGTGACGTAATCGGCCTTAAAATGCGGCCTTTAAGGCTGCAGACCCTGAATTGGGATACAGCCTTGGTCTGCGGCAATCATAGACTGTATATGAAGGATGGCTGTAGCGGCTTTAACGTCACACATTATTTTGCCATTGCCAGATAGCGAATGTGACTGATATACAGGGATGCTGGACAGTCATTGGTTAAAGACATGTAAACCACTTTTATAACTTTAGTGGGGACTAGTCTTAACAGTAAGATGTGAAACTGGCAAAGTATAAAGTCATCAGGAAAATGTTTAGCATGAAGTGAACTGAAAGTTAATTTTTCTTACATTTCTGTACATCCTAACTTCTATTCCAAAGCAGGAGTTGGCCATTAGGACAGAAGAATGTAGGTTAAAAGTACTTGACCATTAGCTTTTTATTATTTTATTTTCAAGAGCTGCAAGCTACATTCATCTTTTATTTCCTTTTTTCTCTTCACTCCCAACCAGTTTTACCAGATGGCTCTCTGCCACTGTCACTGGCTCTTCTGGCTCTAGTAGATGTAACATGGGCTGCAAGATGGTTTCCACCAATGTGGAATTACCAAAAATAGAGAGGGCATAGCCTAACATATGAAACAGGAAAAGACCGCTGTGTAATCCATTTATTTCAACAAAGTAACTGTATTCGGAATACCATGTATTCAGTTACTCCCGCACACTGTCTGGAGATCTCTTCCTGTCAAAAAGTTCTTTCTCCCCACCATTGCCTGGTACTTGCTCATAATGGGTTATCTGATCATCAGAGTTCTCTCCATCTAATATTGAAGGATCTTTATAGTATAAAACACACTGAGGCCATGGTTGTTAACTGCTATAAATGAAACCATACAGTCAAAGGCAACAAAGTTTAGGTATATTTTAACAGGAAGATGCCACGTTTCTGAGCAGAACATTGTATTAACCAATTCATTCACTTTATAATCCAGTTGTCTTTTATACAGAAGTGAAGATGGTAATTTCTGAGACATGGTACATCTGCAGGTTCATAGATTAACTTTGCAACACCTGCGTAAAATAGTATGTTAACAGCTTACCTCAATCATACAGAGGACAATGACAGAGACCCCAATGGTTAGGAAATTCTTCTCAAAAAAATTTGTCACCTTTGACAAACAACCCTGCACACAAAACATTTTGAAATTACCTGCAGCAGTAACAATGTGACCTTTGACCTCTATGGTACATTAAAGCAAGTATGAATCTGAAAGGATCAGTGATTAGTATGAGCCTACCGTTTGCCTGTATTTATGACTTTTACAAGAGGGGTCCTCAGGAATACAGCAGGATTCTGGCACGTTGTTTCCCCAATCTGTTACATTATGGATTCCACAGCAGTCAAGCTAAAACAAATGAATTTGACAGACAAAAAAAATAAACACATTTCTAAAGTCATTTGTGTCACAACATGACATCTCCACTCTGACACACTTACGTTTTTTTGAATATTATCCCAGTCACTTTGTTTTGAATGTGTTGAATTTCCTTTTGCATCATTCAAGCCCTTTGTCAGATCGGTCTTCACTCTTTCAGTAATCTGAACAGTAACGGAGGATTTGGTGATTACATACAATGTATACATTTGCTTTAAAAACAGAACATATTGTGTATAGCATATGTGTCACACACTTCTCCCTCGTATACAAGTAGCAGACATGCTGCTGTCAGTTCCAAGAGCATCATGAGGAAGAGCATCAGGAAAAACTGTAAAAAATAAATATAAAGGTTTATGTGAATGTTACTCTGAAACACTTTACATAAACATATGAAACGGTACTGTATAGTGAAGTTATTTTCGGCTGCTAGTTCACAGCATGTAGCTCAACATGTCTGATTTCGAGAACGTTTTAAACTTGAATGCGCATAAATGCCCATCTTTGTGTTTCCTCCTAGAAAACTAGAAAAACTAGTCCCGATTAACATCTAAATTACCTTTTTTCCCAGAGAACTGACTCTTTAGATATTTCCGTTTGTTACATAAATGCTATTTTTGTAGCATTCAAAAATTGGAGTACACAACAGTGAAGAGGCAGTGTTAGAGAGCCCACCCCCCTTATCAAAATTATACAGGCTTAAAAAAACAAACAAATTATACCCTTTGGGGGTACCAAAACTAGAGTGTTAATTACCTAAAAATATGAAGTAATCAGAGGGAGCAGAAAACCACATAATCTGTGCTCTGCTTTGAGTATTTGTGTGTGTGTTACCGATAGGAGGAGACAGCGGTTCTCCTTGAGTGCGCCGAGAAATCCCAGGAAGGACACGCAGGTGATGATGATGCCGGTGATCAGGAGGATGTTGGCTATGTTGAAGCTGGGCAGTGAGGGGGTGAGAGCAGCATAATTTGAACTCACCATCACGATGACGCCGAAGGCCAAAACGGCCACACCGCAGATCTGACAGAAGAGAAGACAGACTGAAGCCAAGTCCACAATACACACTACACAGAGTACAGTGAGCTGCACCGGGCCCTGGTCTGCTTCAGAGCTTGCCTACAGGCAGCAGTGTCAGGCAGTACATTTTCTCAAGTGCTTCTGCTTTTTGTTTATTTGTTATGCAACAGACTTCTGGCAAATGTTGACTTTTCCTTTTCTTTTGTATCCACCAAGTCTGTGGAACAAAATTAATGAAATGAAATTGAATTAAAAAATATATAATATAAATATATTAACACTTTCTCTTCATGGCCCCTGTGAGTCAGGCCTATCTATCTATCTATCTATCTATCTATCTATCTATCTATCTATCTATCTATCTATCTATCTATCTATCTATCTATCTATCTATCTATCTATCTATCTATCTATCTATCTATCTATCTATCTATCTATCTATCTTCTCACATATTAGCAGACATTGGCTTTCTAAAATTAACTGCCTCCACTCTAATTGGCTCACGTAATCGTCATAGTAATAATACAATTACACAGAGTAAACAAAACTGTCAGAGCCTTTTTTGTGTTTTTTGTTTGTGTGAACTTTTGGTAAATCCTTTAACTGATTAATTTTTAAGAATCTGACCATCTGGTAGAATATTTGAAACCCAAAGTAGACACCTGAAGCATTTATAAATACTAACTAATTTTCACACACTCATACGTCTGTCACACCTGACAGTTTAGGTTTGAAAAGTGAGTGGATGAATGTGACAGGATGTTTCACAGTGATGTGTGATGTATTGCTGGATGACTGAGACATACGTACAAAGCAAAGCAAGTTGGCGACACACATGGTGTACTTTAAACACTTGAGGCAGCTGTGAGCCATCTTGCAACTCCTCTGATCAGACCTGCAACAAGAAAAGGCCGTTATTTTTTTATTGAATATAAATATCGGAAGCAGGGCTGGATGTGGTCAAGGTTTAATGCAGCATCTCTTATTTATGTCTTGCGTTTGTGTGTGGGTGTGTAAGTGCTAAAACAGACAAAACGTCACGGTCACAAAGCGGGGAAGTGATGCTCACACATCTCACTTCCTGTGTTTCCTCTCAGTTTACAAGCAAAACCAAAATTCTTCTTCCGTACAACACGATATGAGTGCATTATACTTTGGGAGGGTTTAAAATTACATCATGAGAGGGCAGGCAGTTTAATTGTGGAAATACCAAAACTTCCTCAAAATACAAGGTGACCCGTTCTAAGTAAAAATCTCCTGTATTTGTGTTATAAATATGTGTAAAACATCAAAATTTTGCCCTCTTTCTAACTGATCTTTGTTCTGAGAATAGAAAAGAGACTTCTTCTTCTTCTTCTTCTTCGGCCATTTAAAACTACTAAAGTACAGCTCTTATATTTTGTTTTCCACTTAAGTCAGTATGTACACATGACAGACACTTTCAGTTAGATGACTGCCTATTTTGGTCTAAATTTGAAAGATTTTTGTTCACTTTTTCATCTTCGTGGGGTTTTCCTTTCTCACAAGTATTTTTTAGAGATTTGACATCAACACGTTTCTGACCGATAAAGAAACATCTTCACAATATTCTGAAGATTTAACGAGATCTCAAGTCAAAATCAAGTTTAACTCTTACCTATTTGGAGAAAATGATATCTGCTATCGTCTCTGTTTTCAGGCGTGTGCTTGTCGAGCTCGTCTGCTGTTCGTACTTCCCCTTCTCATAGCTCTGTGAAGCTTGCAGAGTACATCATGGGGCTTTCAGCAGCCCTTCTCACTTCCTCTTCCTAAAGTCTAGCAACATGGAAAGAAACTGATGACTGAGAAAGTGCAGTAGGGACAGCCAATAGCGCTGCAGAGACGTCAGGTGCATGTCTGTGACACACTGCTTATATTTAGATACAAGCTGAAACTGTGGTCAGCAGCTGCAGAGGTCAAAACCCCTCACTGATGTGAAATCAATTGTTAATATTCTTATTGCACAACTAGAGATAATAAAGCCCGTATGTTCGTCACAGAGGAACACAAACTGGTTAAAACATCTAACTGGTGTCATTTCTCACCTTCTCAATGTGTCACGTGCCAAGGTAGTTGTCGGCATATGCAGTCCTGGTTTCATTTAGTCGTGTTGCAGAGTGTTACTTTCTTTATCAAAGGCCGCTACTCTGCATTTAATCATTAGCTACTATTTCTCAGATGGCTGCCCTTCCCTGAGCCTGTTTCTGATGGCCATTTCTTCCTGTTTAAAAGGAGTTTTTCTTTGCCACAGTTGCCAAAGTGCTTGCCTACATGGAGTTGTCTGATTATTGAGGTTTTCTCTTTCTTCCCCACCTTCCAAACATTTACCATTTATAATAAATGCCTGCCCTCTCCTGAGCCTGATTTTGTTGGAAAATCCCTCCATGTTTAAAGGAACCCCTGCCTCCCTACCAAAGTTTTGCTCGTAGGGAATATTTACATTCATGGGTATTTCCAAGTAAAAACAATCAAATGTGAAACAGTTCTCACCTGATCCCTCAGAATCAGTTCATTCTGTTGTTATTTTATATACTCAAAATTTCATTTAAACGGTCTCCTGATACCAGGCTCCTCTTCTAGCCTTTGTTCCATTCCTAATGTTATATATAACCTGACAACTAGCCTCCCCTGACATTACGCCCTGAACCCGCTGTTCCACCCCTCCCCTGCAGCTGCGCCACAGACCACACCCTGCCACACAGTCACTTTTAACACATGAGATTGTTGCTTGTTATGGCAACAACAGGAATGGAGAAAGAACAAAGAACATTTTCTGTATAATAGACACAAAAACACTGAAAATGTTTTTAAAATTCTTAAAATCTGAGCCCACGGCAGGATGTCCAGATGTTCTCAGGACTGCTGTCAGCCAATGAAAAACCTCGACACATCAGAGGCAAGCATTCAGTTTCTTCAACACTTGTTTTAGTAGTATCGTCATTTCCTGACTCACAATCAGATCATCCATTTTTATTTCATCTTATTACCAGTGTGCCAGGGTTGAAATAAAGACAGTTTTAATCTCTATTTCTGCTGCACATACAGCCAGTGTGCCACAGATCAATACGCACGAGCAAACTGAAGCATAGTACAAACAGAGTAAGGCTGACTGAGCACTGGTTCACTTTCAGGGTGAAACTAAACCACACCTTCCCGGTGGCCTACTGGACAAATCCCTCAACCAGGGCAGCTGTAGACTAAAATACAGCGATGCATTAATGATATAGGCCAAAGTATATGACCGCTTAGTCATTCAAAGTTTACCTTATCATTACTTGGAAGCCTGTGATGAACTTCACAGCATTGTTGTGTGGGAGCAGGAACAGTGACATTCAGGAGGGGGAGCTTAGCCATCACCATTAAGAGGAACTGTGCAACCACAAATGGGGATTTAAGAGTAAAACAACTAATGTACTTTAAAAAAGGGCCTCTTAATGCACCTGGTTTGCAGTTTTTAGCTATAGTAAAACCAAGACACCGTTTTTGTTTAGGCTGAAATGCCTTTGATCCTTTTGCTTCTCTTCAGGCACCAGCGAGGGTCTCTTCAGTAGTGCTTAGTTTTTCATTTTGAACTCTGTTGGATGAATTGTCATTCAGGTTCAGACCCCCTTTGTTCACTTCAAAATGAATTTTTCTCCACTTCTAGCAGCAGTTACTTTTGGAATAAGACTACTAATTCAATTCAGTTCAGTTTTTATATCACCAAATCACAACAGCATTCAGCTCAAAGCATTTAATATTGTAAAGTAAAGACCAACACCCTACCAAACAAGTATTTGGCGACCTTCAGTGGAAAGGGACAGTTTTAGACCACCAGATTTCATGTTCCAGTTACCTTCTTACTCAGATAAATAACATTTTCACCTTTGTTAAAATTTGTTTAGAGTGGGCTGGAGTGGGAATTAACGCCCTCATAAAAATCCAATTATAGCTATAACAATAGTGAGCATTCCTTTAGCATTAGTAAACAAAAACCAAATACTGTATTTAACTCGATCAACTGTTTAGGAATTATTTACATTGAGTCATCCCTCAGACAAAATAACAGAATTTTAAATATAAAAACTCTTTTTAATTCTTGAAAATTGCACCCAGTGTCTGCCTGAAGTCTAGGACTGCACATCACCAAATGCTTCATTTCCTCCGACGAGGAAATGAAGCATTTACTGCAGCTGCTTTCAGTTGTTTCTTGTTTGTGGGTTTGTGGGTCTATTTTCACTTACTGAAAAGCGGCTCTGCCGAGTTGAGATGACAACTGACTTGGCCAATAAAGAATAAACTGAGAAATTAAGAATTGTTTTTGCAGCATGCTTCGGGACGTTGTCGACTTGCACTCTGTTATAATGTGGTTTGTTTTGGATTATAAGCTGCTTCTTTCTGTCGCCACACTTTTCCCTGGGCAAGTTCAAGTTGCACTTTGTTTAAACTCTCTGTACCTCCATTCATCAATGCATCTCTTGATTGTATACATGAAAGTCTGAAAGTATTTTTGATTTGGTTAAATATTGTGAAGCTATTTTTCTGAACCATGGACATAATCCTGTTTTCATGCATGTATCAGATTGTTGCTGATAGATGTATTTTAGTTGTTCAACTTAACAACAGCCTCCTTCACTTCCACTGCATCTCTTTTATTCTTATATTTAAGATTACAGTGAAAAGCTATAACATACAAATCCAACACTTTGAATCAGCTGCAGATATTAGATAGCAGATATGTGACAGACGCTTCATTGGTAATGAAGTAACAAGGGAACAGGCCTCACCTGGCCATGAAACATCTCGTCACTCAATTGTCTAATTACTTTGGAGCCTCTGAGGTTCTAAATCATTTCCAGCTAAAATCGCTTTGTAAAATCACTTGAATTAAAGCTGAAGTCTGCAGTTCTATCATATCTTGATGGTTTGTTGGTGGTACGTTCAACAAATTATGGATTCAGCTGTAGCTAGCTGCTTTCAGCACTTTAATCTAAACCACATTAACCTTTGATTCCTGTTCACTCTTTTCCAAGTTTCTAATGAGGTATATTAGTATTCTTTCACAAAACAGTTTCACTTCTGAGTTTGCAAGCTGCTTGTTTTATTACTTACATCACTGCTTCCACAGGAATTTTCATGTTTACCGTTCTCAGTTCCGCTGACTTATCATCTTAGATCCAAACACAGCATGCAGCCTACTCATCATTCTGTGCAGGATGAAATGTTCTGGCTGGTGTCCTGTGTGTCCATTTATACTGTATTGTGTTGGAGAAGTCTAACTTCTCAAACTCATAAAATCAAGATAAAATGAGCTTAAAACAACATTTTTGCTCATGGATGATATCTTCATAACACCTTTGGATACACTCAAGAGAAACATATTAAAATCAAATAACAGAAAACAAGCGAGGCACTCAGTCTCTGATAAAAGTTGAAGTTAGCATTAAAAAAAGACAACTGTGTATCAACTCTGTCTTCATCAGGGTTAGGCAGAATGAAATATCAGCCGTGGGCCTTCTACCAGCACCCGAGTCAAGGTATACAACCCATAAGGAGACCTAAAATAAAACATAATCCTCAAATATGTCAAAAAGTCATAATGCACTACATAACACGAAGCTAAATTTTACATTTTCTACCTGCCTCAGTGAAGAGCATCAGAGCCATGCAGTGCTTCCATCTGTTTTTGTGACATTATTCAGATTATTAGGAAGAAATTGCCTGACATTTGTATGTTTCTCTGTGGTTGTGTTTTGCTTAGATTCCAACACAACAAACAAGTTTTGTTTTCTGATGATTTTTCTTCCTTTTGTTTTGTAGTTGAGTTCATGACTGAAAACAATGGTCAGTGCAAGCACCAGGAAGTGAGCCACTTTGTCACATCTACAAACAAGTTTAGAGCTGTTGGTGAGGCATCTTCTGCTGAAGATGCAAATCATTCACACTCCCACTTCCCTTCCCCTCTAAAGCTGAATAATCACATGGTAACTTTAGGATTTCTATATACCCCCGTCAGCAGATTTATAGATGAGAATCTTTTCTTGCTCTTGCCAATCTTGTTGCAACTCCCATTTCTCAGTCACACTCCCCAGGCATGGAAACTTTGGCATCTATTTATAGCTTCCCCTTATCTGCAGACATTAGTTAGATCCTCAGTTTGGTGCATAAAGTGTGCTCAATGCCTACTACAAAGTTTGAAGAGTTTGTGACTTTACATGATAATATCCACTTACATTCATCTATTAAGCTATATGATGACTTTAGGATATAGGTGGATGATCTTTTTCTTCTTCTTCAATGGCTAAATTTGGGCTAAACTGAGTTTTTGTAGTTGGCCCAAAAAGTCTAATTAAATTGGCGTGTAACAGGATACTTACTCTAATCCAAAACGCCACTGTGAGAATAGCAACAGAGACTAGAGATAAAAATGTCTCTCTCATATTGGCTTCTCTTCATAGGTTCCCTGTTGAATCCAGAAATGCTTTTAAAAGCCTGTTCCTCACAAAAAAGGTTTTGAATAATCAGGCCCCATCATATCCTATACAATATCTGAGATAAATAAAAAACTGAACTGAGTTGAAACAAATTTTTCAGCTCTCTGATATGATGAAACTCTGCAAGTTGAAGGCCTACACAATTCTATAGTTTATAAGTTTGTCGTGTGAACCAATAACCATCTGAAAAAAAGCATATATTTCCAGTTTTATTTTGGAGATAGTAACAACATTTTATCTGCAGACTTATGCAGCATCGCATCATTTTGGCGTTCAGACAGGCCACGGATTAAAGAAATAAACACACACAGTGTATTGATGATTTAACATTCAAAATCACTCTCCATAATTCTGTTTAAGGATGAAACATCACAACAAATGGAAAACAAAGATTTCAGTTATTCACATGCAATGTCATGGTAACTATTCCCTCTATGGAACTTTAACTTTTGTTTTCTTGTAAAACTTGGACAGTCAGTTGATATGAAATATTAATACACCACATAATAAACCACAGTGATTAAAAAACTTGGCTTTAAACTGCATAATGATCCATTATAGTGCAGAGCTAATGTTAGGTACTCATTTCCCAGACAGGGCAGGTAGTGCTGCTTGCAACTGCATGACAAATTACATAGTAAAACTCATTTACTCCAGACCTTAAAATTGAAGTTTGGTTAGTGTAAAGACAGGAGGCATAAAAAAGGTAAGGCCCTTTAATGGCACAGTTGCATTGACCTGCACAGTCATACTGAAGAACACCTGTTCTGAATAGCATCAATGTTCTCTTCATCCCATTTAACTCGGCTGTCTCATGGCCACTGTTAGTGATATTAGCTACATCTGTGTTTTCTCTGCCACAACAAGGTAAATGGTGTGCTGTATACTTGGTTAGAAAAATTAGATTCTTGTTTTTAAAATTTAGATCATTTTACCATTAGTATTTTAGTAATATTTATGTATTATGAAGCATGCAGCAGTTAGCTTGTCAGTGATGGTCAAGCTGAAATGGTCATTTCTGATAGGTGCACAATGCGCTACTTTCAATTTGAGACAATGTTAATTCTTAAAAAAAAAGAAAAAAAAATCACACACTATGCAAATAAAAACACAGTATGTATCAGCACGCATAATAAAATGTTCTCCAATGAATTGTACTAACAGAATATGAGACATAGTGCTTCTTTAAGACACCATTCTGAAATGGAAAGCACAGGAGGAATAATAATGATCCATTAGGCATGGTTGGTGCTAGACTGGATCAGCCATGGGCATGTTCTCTTCTGCTGTGATTCAGGAACTGATGACACTCTGCAGTTACAAATGTTGCACCATAATTACCCAACATAAACGTGGGTGAGTTTCATACTGTCAAAATGGCTGATGTTCATATTAGGCATGTCCAAAGTTCAAATGGTTTACTGTATGTACAAGTAATTCCTAAGCCAAAAGCTCAGGATTCAGACTGCTCCAAATGCAAGCGAGAGGGGCAGCCAATCAGAAGAAAGGTGCCTAAAAGCAGGAGGAAGTAAACCAAGTTGTTTCACAGAACCAGTGCTTTCACAGCACTGATTGAACAAACAAATCTCAGTGTCTGTGCCCATTAAAAAAGAGATGGATTAATAAAACTCTGAATATAGTCTCAGAGCTCACAGTCACCACCCTCAATATATTTGCTTTTTCTAACAGATACCCGAAAGCTTTCAAAACTGCAACAGTTTTTATAAAAATAAGAAAGAATGAAAGTAATGACCTTATGCTGTCAGATAAATATCAAAAATATAGTTTTGTTACAAAAAAGTTTTTTTAAGTAATTAAAAAGTGCAGTGTTTCTCTGAAATGTGGTGGGATGGCTTTAAAAAAAAACTGGAATAGTCAAACACGTTTGGTTGGCACACTAAGGGGGTTCTTTTTGAAAACTGGAACTGATAATAAACTTGATGAGAGACACACTATGTGAGAGAGAGTATAAAAAAATTCCATGTGCATATACAGTGGGAAGTTGTGATGTGAGGATTTTTCTCAATAGGATTTTACAAGCAGTGACAGTGTTACTTTGTAATCTGTCGTACACCCGTGTCACACCAGGGCTTTCTCAAGACAGCCACTCCTCCAATTTGTGCCCTCCATGTTAACTCGCATGGAGCGTGACACAAGTACATTTGTCTATCAGTCCTTGGGCATGTCTATGGGCGACACGTGTGTAGTGTAAATGTAATCAACAACGTACTTTATCAGTGATGGCAGAGCAGAGCAGCCCACAGCCTTATCCCACCTAGCACCAACCAGGGGATTCCTGTGACAGTGAATCTGTGAAAGCACCTCCCTTAAGTAGAATACAGTCATCACTAATACTTCCAACTTTAATGCCATGACATGTGAGGATATTGTTGATCAGAACCATCTATAGCTACATTAATGATATATTCAATCATCAGCTACTTTGAATTATGCATTCAAGTTAGACAGAAACTGGAACACAAGCTGAAAGGAGACATACACGTTTGTAATCCTTCATGTAAAAAAACATACATTCAACATGTGAATGATGCACACACTGTCTGAAAGAGCTTATTACAGCCACTGTTAAGAGTGCATTTGGCACATGTGTGTGTGTGCGGACTGTTCTTAAAGAGGAGAAATCCCTTTATTATTGGATGGAAACGAGGGTAACACTGTACTTGAAGTGTTCTGTAACGACATAACAGTTTTTAACTTGAATGTGTATAAAACAGAATACTGTATAGGACTGTATGGATCAGAACATCACGGCCGGAAGCAGCAAGGCGAAAGAGAACTGTCCCAGAAAGGGCTCGGTGTTTATCAAGTATTAGGTTTTGAAGACTGGTGGTGCAATTACACTGTCAGAGGCTGTGACGATAAAACAAGCTAAAACAAAACACACTGTTTCTTGTTTTTTTAAGATGTATTCATTTCATTATTAAAACTTCTATTCTGCCAAACTGCCTAACTTTACAGGTGCTCCGACAGTAGGAGAGCATCGCATCAGCCCGAAGGAGACCACGACAGCAACTTGTGACTGTCTGAAGGCAGCATCGACTGTACCTTACTGAAGTGTTCAGTAAGCGTGTTATGTCGCTGCTCACTGGACCACAGCCAACACTGCACTGGAGAGTGAGCACTGTGCTCCAGTCATAGCACACCTGACAAGAAATCACAGAGGAGCACTTTGCAGGGGGTTCTTCAATCGGCGCCGAACTCTGACTGGAACGTCTTCATCCTGTTAAAAGATTTTTTACATGTAACTTTTTATTTTTCTAATTTTTGAGTGTTTTGGAGGTCCAAACAAGCCAAATATTGACAAAGTTCATGTAAAGCTTGATTTAATACACACAGTTTCAGCAGTATCTGCCGTCTCTTCCTCCTCCTCCTCCTCTGTGTGCTCACTACCGGGGGTGAACGCCTCATAGTCAGACAGTGCACTTTCCACCGCCTCTTCATCGTAGTCTGTCTGGTACTCATCGGAGAGTTCCTCTAGGCGGACAAAATCAGAGACGGCAGGAGAACCTTTCATTGATCAGGCTTTTAAATGAAGAGCAGATAAAAAGAAGCTAAAATAATAAATTATAGTATGGATTGTAATATGCGTTGTTCATGTAAGAAATCAGATTTCTAGTTTAGATTTTACTAACCCTCGATTAAAGCATTCTTGACGGGTTCAATTCTCGACACAATCTCTGCCAGGTCAGTGAAGGAGGCATTTGGACATGTGACCACCTGAAAGACAGAGCTCATCATTCCAGCGAAGACTTTAAGACCACCTTCACTGGATTCATACTGTCTGTGACTGAAGACTGTAGTACTCGACAGCCAAACACCAAAACAAATAATATAAGCAAATAAACATTCACTTTAGTCTATAGATACACTAAAATGTAATTATGAGCAATTTAAAAATAAATGCACATGTAAATAAATATTCACAAATAGAAAATTAAATAATAATGCTGAATAAAACACTACATAATTAATGAGCTATGAACAGTGAATAAAATAATGCAGTAGAACAATATAACAACTCAGATCCAGAGTTTTAATGATGACACGCAGCTCAGGGCTTAAAGGATTAAAGACCTTTAAAGTTTTTTTATTTTGTCCCTCTGCTGGAGCCAAACAACAAAGTGCTTCAAAAAGTGCTCAAACTGAGTTTCTAAAAGTTTCTGAAAGAGAGAAACTGTTTTACTTTAGCCGCATGAGTTGGTGATTAACAAGTAGCTTGAGTGACTGAAGGTTTGAATGTCAACATGAATGGTTGCCTCTCTCCAACGATGGACTATTGACCTGTTAGTCCAACGCAGGCTTTTTACCCTGTGACAGCTGTGACAGGCTCCAGCCCCACTCGTGACTATGAATTGGATAAAGAGTTAAAAAAAATGGATGGATGAAGGGAAAAGGATCACCATTAAACCTCTGATATCATAGGTAGGGTTTAACCGTGTCTGAAAACATACTATTAAAATTGCTTTACAGGAGAAAACATTTAACGTCTGTAAATCTGTTTGCAGTTAGTTATGATGGACTATTAAACGTTACAGTCATAAATGTGGCGAGCTGCTGTTTTATAGTAGAGGGCCCTGGTTAGGTTACCTGTGTATCTGACACAAACTTATATAACAAGAGTAAGAACAAGAGTCGAACTTGATCGCAGCTGAACAATCTATTTGTATTGTTATTTACACTCACGTGACCAGTTTTGGTCTTATGAAACTCCTCCTGATGTCGGTCCTTAAGCATACTGTCCACCACACCGCTGCGCTGCCACACATCAAACAGTGTCTTCCCATGCTGGTACCCCACCTCCTGCAGATAGTGAACCTCTCAGTGAGTTTGTGGGCCAGCAGATTAAATAGAATTAAATAAAACATGGAGGAAGAGAGGAGAAGCTCACAGCAATCTCATCGAACTTGCCAAACTCCAGTGTGCCGTAGCGGTCGATAGGCGGTCGGATGTACTCGCAGTAGTCGCTGTCTTTGACCAGCTCCAGCTGCCGCACGCAGCAGACGTAAGCAAGCCGTGTTTGGATCTCTGCCATGTTCAGGACCTGGAGGGAAAGTTTGTTCAGTCTGACAGGGCTATGATGGCAGAACAAAGAGTGTTTAGTGGCCGTCATTCTGCCCACAGTTGACGTCAGGCTGTGGTAAAATCAAAGCACCTTGACTTTCTCAGCCAGTGGATTGAACCGCTTCCACAGCAACCACCAGCCATTCAGATAATCACCGTAGTTGGTCAGATTGGTCTCATCTCGACTTCCAACATCGATTGCGATCACAACCTTGGCACCCATGGAGCGAGCCACGTCAGCTAGATATCATGAGAGACACATTCTGATAACCAGTTTCCTCTTTCAGCTAATAAATATAGTCAAAAATGTTTGTTTCTATTCTTCTTTGTGTATCTGCCAATCATATACGCCCACTGATAAGCTAATATTACTTTCTTTGGCTTTGCACATCTCTGCAGTTTGCAGATAAGCATGCTGTCTCACGACACCCCACTTTCGTCTTCTTAATATCTGTTGTTAAACGGTGGTCTGCATCTGCTTGCATCATAGCCATATTTGAATGACTGCTTATATATTCTGAATGACCATCCTCACTATGAAATAAGCACTTTTAGCTCTTCTCTCTCGAAGTCAGCTTTCTTCCAATCAGCTGTTGTTCATAAAAGGAAGACAGAAACATCAAGTGGGAGGGGCTTCTGTGCTCACAAACAGGGCTGTGTGTTTCAGATGTTAAGGCTGTCTGTGCTCAGAGGCATCATACAGAGCTAACAATATGATAAACATGTTTACAGAAATCATATGCGGATCTCATTATTAGAAAGTTTGGTCATGTTTACTATGAATGTAAATTAAGTCATTCAAGATGTTGTTTTTTGGGGAGGGGGGTTTGATAAAGCTCATAGTTAAGGGTAGATCAGGTGACCTTTAATCCTTCCTTATGGATTCAAGGTTATGCTGCAACAGGTTTAGGCTGCTAGGGGCTTCCCATGATGCACAGAGGGCTTCTTCTTCTCTCACTGTTTTTCCCCTCACTATGTGTTTACACACCACTTTTCATTTAATTGTTAGTTATTAATAATCTCTGGCTCTCCCCCACAGAGTGTCTTTTGTCCTGTCTCCCTCCTCTCACCCCCAACTGGTCTGACTGATGCCCGCCCCTCCTTGAGCCTAATGTTCTGATGTGAGGTTTCTTCCTGTTAAAAAGGGAGTTTTTCCTTCCCACTGTCACCAAGTGCTTGCTCATAGAGACTGTCTGACTTTAAGGGTTTTCTCTGTTATTATTAGTGTGGATCCTTTACCTTACAAATACAGAGGACCTTGACATAACTATTCTTGTGAGTCAAACAGCGATCACCTCAGTTTACTTCAACTCGTACACAGCGCGAGTAGAAAAGCTTACTACCCTCTCAGTGTTTCTCACCAGGTAGGTTGTTGATGTAACCTCCATCCATGAGCAGATGTCCATCTTTGGGATCACAAAGCGGTGGCAGGTAACCTGACAGAGACATGCTGGCCCGGACATAACGCCACAACGAACCTAATCATGTAGGACAATCGTACAGTCACAAGTATGAAGTGTGTGAAAACACTGTCCACAAATTAATGATTAGGTTAAATACAAAACATCTCACAATTAAATTAATATTTTCCCTTCTTTTTCCTCAGCTCCTTCTTAAAGAGCTGAGGAAAGAGTGGAGCTCCTTAAATGGTCAGAGTGCTTCTAGTACTAGAGGAAAAACGAGGTTTCCCACACCGTCAGTATGAACTCTCATAGCGGAAGCTGTGATATCTGTTGTAATGTTGAAATACGGTAACCACAGGTCCTGGCAGTGGAGAGGTTGGAAACAGAAAAAAAACATAACACAGAAAGGCACGTGAGCTGTGACTTTGCAAGAAATGTGTTACATGCACATGATGCAAGCTGCTGGTGTTTGAAACGCTACTCTCCTTACCTCTATCTGTTTGTTCTTGAAGACTGAGCTAATGCTGGAGTTGAAGGAGGCTCCAGAAAACATGGAGGTAACTGGGTATGTCAGATCCAAGATCTTCTTAAAGTATGAAGTCATACCCTGAAGAAGAAAGTTTTAAAAAAAGGGAAGTGAAGAAAAACACACCATGGTTGATAAAGAACAATTCAGCTTTTCACTTGGGTCTAAAGAAATCTGGAAGTGAAACTAGTGAAACTTCAGGGAGGTGAAACTCTTTAAAAATATCAGTGCAGGTGTCAGCAGAGTGTGTCATGCACACACCATGGCCCACTCGTGTGCCCGGACCCTCATTCGACTGATGCTCTTCTCCTCAGCATACAGTGCTCCCATGAACGAGCCAATGGAGGTGCCACCCACCATGTCCACAGGGATCCCCGCCTCGTTGAGTGCCCGCAGGATGCCCACCTGAGAGCAGCCTCTGAAACACATTCATTTAGACGATTTCTTTTCCTTTTCAGACATATACCAATATGTGCACAAGGAGTTCTACCCAAGTCCTGCACGCAGTGACTGAATGTAAAGTCCAAGGAGACAGTGCAGCCTTAAACAATCACGTTGCATTTAATAAAATTTATATTTAATTGGTGATGATGGGAGACTTGAGGCAGGATGTATTATGTGTCACTGCACAATTACATTATCATGTGGATGTTTTTTTACTTACTGGTTTAAATGTATCTGCAAATACAGCTTTATTATAAAAAATATTAATGAAACATTAATTGTTAGCTTCTTCTTGGCTAAAGCTAGAATAAAGAAAGTGCTAGGAAACACAATCTACTAATAAAATGTACCATAAATATTCATAATATCTTGCTCAAATAGATATTTTATTTATTTTCATATTTAGACTTTATATAAAAATATTTACACTAATAGGCACAAAATATCGAGTTTTAGCTAATAAAGCAGAAACTGCCTATTCATGTTGGTGAAGCTACCAAAATAGGACACAGCTGGCAATTTACTGGGCATGTTTAAGTGCTGATATAAAAATATTTCAGATGATTTTAAATAGAGCCAGAAAGATAGCAGTGCTCATCAGTTTTGGCAGGAAGCAACTTGGATAGCTCATTTTTAAGTAAGCAAATGGGTTACTTTCATGCCTTTTACTTTCATCTCGCATCAGCATCAAGACCGTGTGATTATATATCACAAATGCTTGTTGGTTGTGTCCTACAAATGCTGTTCTCACAACAACTGCTATGCTTATGTTGAATTAATTTCAATATACAACATATTTGTCAGGGTGTTAGCAATACACCGGTGCAAGAATTTGCAAATCATTTCGGAAGAAAAAATAGTTCCCAGGGTTCAGTTGAACTGCCAGTACTGATGCAGTAAAAGTACTAAATGTAACCACAAGTGCTTACATAGATGACACACAGCAAATACCTATGGCTAAGACTGAATCTACAGATTCAATAATAGGTCACATGTAAAAGCATTACTGCTGTAGTCATGTGATCATCGGGTGTCTTAGGTCCCTACCTTGCCAGAGCTCCAGGATAAGCCAGAGCGGTGAAAAAAGAAACAGTCATTACACAACAAGAAAAACACACAAAAAAAGAACTGTTCTGCTGATCTAATATTTCAGTAAGAATAACTCAGGCGTCAGATGTATTCAAATCCTAATGTAGCAGTAACAGTAAGGTGTACCCAAAACTCTGGCGCAGATATTCCCAACCTGAGGAAGGCTCATATGGTAATCAACAAAATATCAATATGGTCTTATGTCCACCTGTAAAAACGTATCAGCACCTTGCTAACCAAATGTCTATATTTTCATTTACTTATCAGATGAGTTAGGGCAAAAACAATCAAACTAAGAAAGAAAAACTGAGCAAACTAAATAAATAAATCCACACGTTCGGTATACTGTGATTTTTTTTCCTCACTATCTTTCTGTATTCGCCTCTTCTGCTACATCAAACAAACATTTTGGCAGTGTGGACATACGCCATGTGTCCTTCCATGTAGCAGGTGAATTTGTGAGTGAGTGGGGTTTTCTTGTTGAAGTAAGGAGAGTGGGTAGGGGTTGTAAGCAAGAGGTTGAGACCAGCGGCTGGCACTAATTTAGACATTTATATTTTCACGGATCTAAGCGCAAAAGTGCAAAACTTCAGTTAGCTGAACAAAGCCTTTTTAAGTGGTTAATCAATAAATATGTTCCCAAGCAGCAGAACTACCTTGCGCCCCCTCCACCTAGCACCAGGGCGATACTGTTTCCGGTCAAGATCCTGGCCAGGCGGGAGAAGTCAGAATGACGATCTGGACATTTTTCAAACACACGCTGGTATAACTCCCTCTGAAAAAAGCAGTCACAGACACAGAAAAGAGATGTAGGCATTTGCTAACCAGGTCAGTGGTTAGTGAAGACTCTGTAGTCTGTACCAGCTTGGGTAGACTCCTCCTGGAGAACACCCTGCGGGGGCAACACAGATGATGGTGTCTGGAGATCCAGCTTCGCATGTTGAGCCACTCTGCCGTCCCTCTGGGCGGTGGGCCGTCCTCTCTGTGAAGCAGCACGAGTTGCTTCTGGGCTCGGACTGCACTACTCTCCAACATTCGCTCCAACTACACATGCAGAACATGAGCAGAGAGCTTTCACTCAGGTCGTTATGAATGCAATAAACACCTTTAACGCAGACTTGTATTTAAGTGTCACAAACAGATGTGGTTTCTACAACTTCTATATGGTATCTATGTACCCAGGAGATGTTTCCCAAATAAAGAATTTCCCTCTGATTTCTCTTGAAATTCAACACAAGCATTATCTAAGGAGCTTGGAAAGAAAAGCGAATGAAAAGCTGTTGTAATTGGCTGGCTGTGGAATAGTAACATCTCCTGCAGCTTTAACTCACATTCTTCTCAAACTCTACAAAATAAGGTAATATTTACACTGACCTCGCCCACTGTGGGCTCCTGCTCACCCAGTCCCACAATGATGATGCAGTCAGCCTGGCGGATGCAGCGCTGGGTCCATGGTGTGAGGCTGGGATCAGACTGGTAGAGGACGATGCGATGGATGTCTTCCTGCTGGCCAAGCCAACTGGACAGGCGGTACTCGTGGACACTTGAGGTAGAGATGAGGTAGAAGCATGTCACTGCATTAGAGTTAGATCAACCTATGAAAAACTGCAGAAGTCAATTTCAACTACAGCTGTATTTATTTCCGTGATCTACCTGTCCAGAGCAGCAGAACCCAGGCGCTGTTTTATGTTGTCACTGGTCAGGAGTAAAGTGGGACCTGTAGAAAGACTTGCATTAAGTTGTTTAAACTTAACAGTATGCCCCCCTTTTTAATAGCTAATAGCTAATAGTATCCCATATCAGTAATACTGGAATAATCAGTATTACTCCCTTCATCTGTTTTAATGGTGTGTGTGTGTGTGTGTGTGTGTGTGTGTGTGTGTGTGTGTGTGTGTGTGTGTGTGTGTGTGTGTACCAATGCCACAGAGCGCATGCTGTAGCTCCAGAGTGAATGCAGTGAGTGGAACCTCCTCGGACACAGGCAGGATGGCCACAGTGGACAGGTTGGAGACTGGGTTGCCAGCATCCCACTTGCTGGTAGGCGTGTGGAGACCTAAACTACGAGCTGAAGAGTTTCTGCCATTAGATATTTCACATATGCAATATAATCTTCTGTACATTGTTCATAGTGTTTCCAATATGAATTCCAGGGTTTCAAACGCTCATGCTTCTAGCATGTGACACAGGCTAGCACAATTCTCAGACACACTCACACACTATGCAAACTGATGCCACAGCAAAGAAATTTAATGGTCAAAGCCAATATTCTCCAAAAATTTATCTAAAAATTTATAATCAAGACTTAAAACTCCACCCACGACCACCTACACCACAAATTTCTGATGTTTGATAGTTGAAAGTCAAAGAGGAGAAACTACAGAAACAGTAAAAAGATCGATCAGTTCACCTCAGCACTGATTCCTTTGTAACTCTACTGTTTCACCTCTGTAGAATAAAGGGATCAGTCAGGACAACTTTGTACTGTTTTACAGTGAACCTTGTCTAAGTGGACCTAAACCACAAAACACACAAAGTAAAAACAGTAAAAGATTACCAGCCAGGGGTCCAGTGACCTGTTGCATGTTGCCCAGAATCTTCTGCCCCAGCAGATGAATCAGCCTAGTGACAACCTGGGGATATCTCCTCTTGATCGAGTTCAGAGCTCCTTCAGGGAGCTTGGCCAGCTCTGAGTCCCTAACAGCATGGACTGTGGTGGCTCGGTTCATGTGGGTCAGGGCCTCAACCTGTTCAATCATGAAAGAGATGTTATGGTACAAAATATTGTTTTTCCACGTCTTGCGTTTTTTCTAAAACTTTCTCTCAAACTTAAACAGGAGGTCACAATTCTAACAACTCACCACACCAATTAGATCTCCGCGGCCATACTCCCCGGCAAGCTCTTTTTTCCCATCATCCTTTGCAATGACAGAGCGCAGTCGGCCACTGAGGACGATGAAGGTGCTGTCTGACTTGTCTCCCTGTCTAAAAGCAAACAGGCAATCATGTAAGAAAAAAAGTCCATCAATTTAAATCACACATTTATAAGCTGTGATCATAAAGTTCCCACTTAAAGTTCCCACTTCATAGTCATCTGCTTTTAGTTCTGCTGCTATTTTCGGAGCTATTATGACACCTTGCATGTGAGAACATCATGGAAATTCATGCTCTATTTCTCAAAATGAAATTCAACTTCATTGGCTGCTTTGTTTACACTGGATGACATTTAGCGCACACTGCAGATGGACAAGTGCAAGTGGACTGAATGGGAATGTGAAGGCAAATTTTTAGGTGTTTTGACTCCATCACAATTAATAATTAAACTTAAAAGTGTTTCCATAGATTAAGGAAGTTTTTTGAATCGAAAGTAATTGCAGTTTATGTTGCCTGCACATTAACAGTTTTAGTAAAAGTACCTGTAGACGGCACGTCCAGCCTCCACAGCCATCCAGTCCAGGGCAAAGTCGATCTGTCTAACAAATGGCGACATCCTCTTCACCACAGTGTGAGCCACATTCAGCACCACCCTGGGCTCCTCGCGCATAATCCTGCAAAGTTTAAAATTAAGATGTATTTGAAGCCTGGCTGTGACACTGAGGCAAGCAAACAGCTGACTGCTTGTGCATGTGCTCGGCCATACTCATAGAAATGGGCCTTGGAAATGGAGAGGTAGGTGCAGTCTCGGTGCGCTCGCACTGTGAAGATGAGGGGTTCCCCTGTGAGGACAGCCAGGTGACCCACCAACTCCCCGGGGTGAGTAACAAAAAGCAGGGTCTCCTCTTCGCGGTCTATCATACGCTGATAGACATGGAGCAGCCCTGAGATGACAAAGGCCACACTCACGTCCTGAAAAACATGTAGAGAAGAAAATGAGGTCTTGTGACTTTTCACCAGTCAGTGGCATGAAACCAAAAAGGTGATAGTGCTGGATTTTCCTGCAGTTTCAGCAGCCTGATGCTCATTTGTTTCTGCTGACTCTCCCATGGTTTAAAACATATCCTCTTTAAAACTGAGCAACACATTCTTAAATCAGTATCAGCTGATGTGTTTGATCAGCCCAGTTTTTAATATCCACAAGTACCCTGATTAAACGAGGAACAGTAAATGTCAAGAAAAGAAAGAAAACAGATGTGACAGAGAACCTTTAAGACCTGCATTTGTTTTTTTAAACTGAGCTACTGAGACTAATAGCCAGTTAAATGTAAGAATATTACTTTGCTCCAATTACAATAATCATTGGTAATCCAAAGCAAGCAGAAGAAGAAGAAACCGAAGGAGACGAAGGAGAAGAAGCACAAGGAGGAGCAAGAGGAGGATGAGGATTCTTGTCCGTTGTCATTAAACTGACCTGGTCTCCCTGGTGGCCTACAACAGATCCAGCTTTGACCTGGCGAAGATTCACCCTCCCATCCAGCAGACTGGGGTCCTGACATGTGCAAAAAAACCACACAGAGGACAGTCTCAGAAGTAGCCAGGACTCAAATATACAACCACTGTGGGATTAATAAAGTTTATATTTTTGAATTTTACTGTTGCTAAAAACACGATCTCCTCATTTGTTTTCAGTTGACCTTTGGTTTTTCATTGTAAGCTACCTTTAATTGGATGACCTGCAGCAAATCCTTTTTAGCAGCTTGGAAAATGGCATTGACTTTATTATGGTAGACACTTCCTCCTCCTGCATCACTGTAATGGTACACAGCAGATGGAGTTTGCTGCACTGTCACACTCTTCTTTAGAATAGACTGAGGAGGTAAAGACAAAAAAAACACAATGTGTGTGAGATCCACACTCATTCTAGTAACTGTGTATGTGCATATATGGTGTGATGGGTGCACAGTTAGATGCCCTGTATGCCCAATGTTCAACATAAACCAGCAATTCCCTGAAAGTGTAACAAAGATAGTTTCTATGCAGAGACCTTGACAGGACTATGAGGCACCGTCTCCTCTTTGGCACCTGGAACGTATGTACTGTTGAAGTCAGGTGACATTTCCCCTGCAAAACACAAATTGTTTAAAATTTCGATAGAACAGTAGCAGTATAATGTCTTCGTAAGTGGATATCAGGCCCTTGTAGAGCAAGAGTATTTTAGTCTAAATAACCCAAAATCTGATGTCCACATATGTGAAGGTCCTACGAGGTTAAGCCACAAGTTTGAACAGAGACTGGTTTAAACCCAAACTGACCGAAACCCAAATTAAGGAGAGCCTTAAAGTATTCTCCTGACTGTATCCTCAGTTAAAGTCAGCAGCACTGTATACAGTATATGATCATTTTGTATTTACCTGTATTTGTATTATCTATCTATCGATCAATCGATAGATATGTCTAATATTAACATTTGTTTGATGACCTGAAATGTTTAAATTTGACAAATATGCAAAACAATAAACGCTTATCATGGCACTGTCAAAAAAGCCAACAATTCCCTAACTTTTTTAGAAGTATACATATATGTGTGTGTACAGTGACACTGCATGTATGTATACCTGTAACAGTAATCGGGTTGGAGAGGGAGCGGGATCTCTTGGTTTTTGATGTGGACATGGAAGAGAGGCTGGACTTTTCTGCTACATCAAAAAACAGATAACATGAGCAGTTTTACTTGATGCACATCGCTTACGTCTCATAGTGAACATATTGAGAAAATGCTGTTATTTCTGACCCGTGTCAGCTTTTTCAGAGCCCAGATCATCAGAGTGAGACTGCTGCCTGCGGAAACCTTTGTGTGGATGAGTCTCACACAGAACGTTTGCCACAGACACCAAGGAGATCGCTTGGCTCTCCTGATAAACACAAGTTAATCAAAAAAGTCACCTTTTAATGCAAGAATTTTCTTAAATGATCTGAAATCTTAAATCAATATTAGTAAGAATCAAACTTAAACTCTGACTTTGAGAAAAAACTTTTCAAAAGCCCAAAACCATGTTTCTAATACTACAGATTAGGCTACCTCTAGGAGTCTGCAGCTGACCAACCAACCTTAAAACCACCCCTATGTTTTGGATGAAGACATAGGTCTTGGGTAAAAAAATTTTTTTTAAAAAGAGTCAAAATTCAGATATTCTGATAGTATTCCCAAAATCTAAACTCTAGGTCGGTAACTTAGCAACCTCGAAGAAAAATCAGGGGTCTCTTGAGATTATGGAGAACAATTGTTATATGCTGATATCATTAGGGTACTTGTCACTATCAATGATAACTCACACCTTGCAGGACAACTAAATATGTGCTCTGAAGAAAACACTTTGAAAAAACAAACATAAAAAGCTTTTGCAACAGAAAAGAATGGCAGAAACAAAGATAAGGCTCACATGACAAGAGCAGAAAGCACAAAGTACTTCTGTTAGCAAGATTACTTGGTTAAATGTGTCCTGTGGACTTTTGTCTTTACCAATGGTAGTACTGTACAGTACCAGTCCTACCAAACGACCTGTTTGCGGATCACCAGACAGAATTTACTCAGTGTCTTTATATGTAAGCACTACTCTCTGTTTTGAGACAGTGTTTCATAACTGGAAAAAATGATGAGTTAATAAAAGAAGGCAACAACACAAGAGTGCGAGGAGAAATTATCCAATCAAAAACAGTTTTGCACTATTCATGTCACAGGTAAATGAAAGAGCACTACCGGGTTGAAGAGCTCAGTGGTAAGGCCAAGGTAGTTGTGTAAGGCAAGAAATGTCACTCTCTGAAGCCGCACCATTATGATCTACAGGACAAGAAGGAAAGGTGACAGAGAAAATGTGTTTGTTTTTTTTAGCTGTACAGGGTGGATTCAGTTTAATCATCGCCCTGTGCTTTGCTGAATGCTATTTACTCGTGGAGAGCATACATACAGTATTTGCAGCCCAGCTAATAAATAATATGATTCATTTTTTTCTGTGGACACTTTACCTGGATGACACGAACCAGAGTTTCTGGATACTTCTCAAACACTGACTGAAAAGCTGCAGCTGGAAGACGCAGGACAGCTGAGGGAACTGCAGCTCTCGCAGATACTGTTTTATAAGGTGCTGGGTAACCCTGAAAATTAAATGATGCAGATCAGAGGAGATGTTTCGCAGTAAAATGCTTTATGAAACCAAGAAATCGCTAATACAGAAAATGCAAAAAGAATTCCTCAATTAGCAGTGCAGTGAGAGATATATGAAGAGAGAGAGGGACCGCACACATACAGTGATGATGTCCAGGATGCTGAGCAAACTGTGAACACTGTCTCCAGGTAACACCTCCTTCACTACGGCATCGGTGCCATCCTGCAGTAATAAACACAGTGAGAACAGAACATCAGAACAGAAAAACAGCACACAAGAACCGAGCCAGTCAAGACATCCTGGTGAAGCTGAGCAACAGAATGGGGAGGGAAGGTGATTTAAATAACTTTGAACATGGCATGGTTGTTGGTGATAGATGGGCTGGTCTGACGATTTCAGAAACTGCTGATCTACTGGTAGTTTCCAGCACAACCATCTCTAGGCTTTACAAAGAGAGAAAGAAAATATTCCATTCAATTGAATTCCTTTTTTTCAAGCTGGCGTGATCAATCATTTTGACCTAACAGAAAGAAGCACTGGTACTCATCTGGAGTGTTAATAATCAAAAAGAATGTGCCCCCCGAATCAATACTAGCCCTTTATATTCAGCTCATTTAACTGTATGAAGCTGCACGGGTGCTTACATTCTCGTGGACGCACAGCTCCAGGCGGCCATCTTGAACCACGTAAATGCTGTCATCAGTGTCACCGGGTCGGAAGAGTCCCTCTCCTTGGTGCAGCTGGATCAGCACCATGTGACGACACAGCTCCAAAAACAGAGGTTTCTCGAAGTGCCCGAGCACCCTGTGTGCGCACGGCATAGTTCTGTTACTGCTAGCTGGAATAATCATGCTACATATCAAAGAATGAATATGCCTAATACTGATTGCGAAACCACAGATGAATCCTTACAATGACCTAGTCATTCTTTTCTGGTTTACAGATAACACTAAGTTGCATTTGAAGGTCCCCAAGACGGAATTGCATGGACACCAGGCTCACTCATTGAAATATAAATATAAAAATTGAGTGAATTATTCAAATTATTAATTTGACATTAACACTCATTAGCACTCTGTGAATCACTTTACTTTCTGAGTTTGGTGCTGAATGAGGCCCATTATGTATCAAGAGTACTGACCTGACATTTTTCAGCATGTACAGCACTTCAGAGGGTAAATGGGAGTTCTGCACGTCAAACTCAGTGAGGTCAGCCTCCAGCAGGCAGGGAGGAGGCTCCTTGGGCTGCAGGGTCGGGGGCTCCCTACGAATGCGCAGGATCCTAAAACAGACACACTTATCACACTTTGTTGCTGTTTTGCTTTTTTTTTTACACTATGTTTCTTCTTCTGTTTATACAGGGGCTCACTTGCGAGCTATAGAAAGAACTTTAGTCCTCTTCCTCACTCGCTGCCGCACGGCTGAGTTTGAGTTGGAAGCAGGCACCGAGGAAAGTGTCTGAACCTGCAACAGCAAGAAAGAGAAACATGATGCTACACAGAAGGCATTCTGATGATAATACACGTGCCAGTATAGATAGATATAGATACTGTAAGGTATATGATTCTCTCTAGCAGCCATGCCTAATGACAAGGCTGTTAGCACCAGCTAAATTCCAGCACACTAATTTTTTCAGCATTTATAAGCCATTATTGCTTGTCAAAAAAGTTACACAAAATAGTTTCCCATCACAGGAAATTTATTTTGAGTGTCTTCATAGTTCTATTTTTGAGATACACCAATTTTTATATACTGTAAAGTATATTTTACAAAAGCTATATGTGGAAGGAAACCGTGACCTAGGGCAAGCTGATGGCATAAGATGTAAGTACAACTACTACAGTTTCATATGCCAAAAAAAAAATCATTGTGCTAACTTACGTGGTTCCGGTTCTATGTGGATTTAAAAATAGTTACGCAAAACGATGCGGACACGCTCTGACCGGTTTTAAAGGGTTAAATTTCAAGACAGCAAGATGGTGACAGCAAAAACTCTTACTCCCAGGATTCAAAACTGAATATGACAAACCAATGGATGACTGGTTGACTATACTGTCTGTTCTCCTGTCTATGACTATTCCCCATAAACCCTTGTGTTAAAATGCTTTAGTAACTAGCAGAGCCTGAGTCACTAAACTGAACATCTTGACTCTGTTTGTCCTGTTGGTGCCTACAGACGACTCAGCAAGTTTGTGCTTCAGTTTTAGTGGGTGAACTTCGGGTATTTTTGGAATACACATGTTAGCTGATAAGTTAGTGCTCCACACTCTTGTACAATTACAGTCACTTTTAGCTCTGAAAAGCCTCACACTATGGTGGCCAAAACACTAATGGTGAGGCCTTGAAATGCAGAGTCCTGAATTGGGTAAGTAACATAATGGTGGCTATGTCCATCTTTTATATACAGTGTATGGTTTTGCCCAAGGTCTCTTCTGTTTCACTAAATGATTGCTTATAAGAGATTGAGGTTCTCTGTAACTTGTACAGCATATACATGACGTTGCAGACCTGCATTGAGGTTTTGTTTTTCTCTGTAAAATTTTCAGTTTTTTTAAGTATCATCAATTACTCAAAAAATGGTCAGTGCAACCTCAGCTAACATTTGTCACTCAGTAAAGACTTCTGCAAACTATTAGTGATCATGCAGTGAAGTATACAAAAATAGCATTCAAATGAGTCATCAAGATTCCTGAATAAGTTTGTTTCTTGCCATCATCTTTAGCTTGATTAATAAAAGAAAAACAAAATATGATAACAGACAACAAAGACTGTGGACACATGGTTTATAAAACACACACAACAGAAGGGCGCCTGCTGGGGGTGATGGTGCCCTCAAAGTGTGCATCAAGAAATAACTTACCTTTCTCATGATCTTTCGGCCGTAGAACATCACTTTGTCTCGCTTCCTAAAACGGTAGTGGGGGACCCCAGCCTCCTCCTCTAAAAGAACCACAAAACCTCTGTAAGATCTGTCTGTGCTCAGCACAGAGCAGGAAATCTAACTCTGCAATGTAACTGTTGATTTATAAAACACTGCTCCTTCAATAAGCACTGTCCAATAGTCTCAGGCTATCTGCTAAAGGTCACCTTACTGTCACATTTTTACTGCAACTCTGTTTAATTAAGTTATTTATGTATTTTAAATCAGGGCTGAAGACATACCATCATTGACTTGAATTACATTAACTTATGGACAGTTTGTCCACCTCTTTGTTTCAGTTGCACCTGTTTAATGTAACTAACCAAGACAGAAATAGTAGTACAAATAGTATTTAGTATCTAATAGTTTACATTCAAAACGTTTTATAAGCTATTTTTGCATTTAAACCTCACCCTGCAGTAATACTTTAACAACAAACATCAGCTAAAACAGTCATATCAATGGTAGACTAGAAAACTCTTATACTTAAACTATAAGGTTTATGACTCTGAGCTCTGCAACTTGTTCATCACTGAATATTTTTAGATACACTGAAACAGCATGGGTTTGGGGTGTGCAGCCTGCAGAGAACTGACTTGATAGTTTGTATCGTCTGTAAAGGAGGAACACAACAACTCCAACGACAGACATCACCATCACTGCTCCGATCAGTACAGCTGTCCACTGGAAGAAATTTAAAAAAAAAACAGCATACCCAACATCAAAACACTTTCACTTGCACATTTGTGTACCTAAAAAAGTAAAAGCTAAAACACATTTTAAAAGTACTCCTTGTATATTCAAACCTTCAACTAAGGCTGTCAACAGAGTATTTAAAAAGCTTGCCTGTGTTGTAATGAGAAAATAAACAGCTTAAGTTAAAATAGGACCAAACCATACTTTCATGCAAGACCAACTTTTACCACAAGATGGTGCTGCTCCTTGTCAAACCCCACTGTGCCAGCGCCTGCTAGTCTGTCCTGAACTGGAAGTCCCACAGGACCTTAGCTCCACTGTTCTCAACCACCTTTAGTGGTGTCTCCCATCTGGACTTGGGGACTTCTTGTCCATATGTGGTACAGATGTTCCAGATTCTAGCCAACTGGTTGTGCCTTGGTGTTTGTGGTCTCAGCTTGCACCTTGCATCCTGCTGCTCTGTGTTGATCAGTTCCATGGCACCTTTGCAGTCTAGAACCTGTCAGCTGTAATAGAGTCCTGCCTCTATTGATCTGATGCTTAGTGCCTGTTCTTGTGCTGCCATGATAAAAAACCTCTATCCTTTTCTTTAGTCCGCCCATTTCTGGCCACTGGTAGGATTTCTTGATGTCTGCCACTTCCTCTCTCTGTCAATGGAACATCCCATTCAGAGGGATGTATTCGCAGATGCTCCGTGTTTCATCTTGGATTGTGGCTCTGACACTCCTTAACCCTCACCCTCCCTCTTTCTGTTGCTCATAGAGCCTTAGGGTGCTAGAATACATGTGAAGACCTCGGTGGCATCTATCTCCTCCTGTGACCAGCTTATTATTCCAGCTGGGTATCTCTAATGACCGACAGGGTGAATGCATTGGCTTGGATCTTTTTCTACCATTCAGCTGGCTTCTTATCACCTGATAGTTATAGATCTCTCTATCAACAGATCATTACATCAATCTACAGATGTATATATCTATGTATTGAAGGATCAATAGGTTGTAGCTTTTGTCTGTTAAACAGAATATGTGTCAGGCTAAATACTGCCTTTTCTTATTACATGGGTGGACAATTTCCACTAGCAGGAGTGGTCTTTTACCAGAAAGTAAAACACCACCCCTGCTGGTGGAAATTCTTCTAAATTTAACTTATTCTGAATACAATGAGTACCTTTAAAGGAATATAAATAATATTTAAACATACAGTAATAACAGCAAGCATTCACACTTAGTCACTATTTGCATGAATTTACTTAATTCTTTCTTTTGTTTCCTTTCAGTTTTTTGTTATATATCGTTTAGTATATAAAGGCACACAAGCCAACTTCCACTGTTTACCATATTGGCTTCTGTCCGTTCCTCCACAAAAAGTTCCATCGTGGCCTTAAGCCTATCCAGCGGAACCAGCTTATGAAACATCAGAGACAACACAAAGGAAATGAAATGACTCACAGCTGAAGGTGAGCCAGGCTGTGCATTCAGAAAAGAATCAGGTTTGGGAACAGTCAAGACAAGATTAAAATACAGTCTGTTTTCACACAAAAGATCTAACAGTCTGATAAAGCATTGCACAATATTCTATAATATATTAGTTGTAATTGAGAGCCACAGTGGAAAATATCTGTTAATTTCCAGCTCCGTGTTTTTATTCCTGGGGTCTATTAGACTTATTTTATGTACTCAAAGTTATAATTACCTCCCTGTTCATATTCGTACTGCCGAGTCTATTCAGTCTTTTAAATCACGTCTTAAAACTTATCTTTTTACTTTGGCCTTTGATTCTAACTAGTTGGCTGTTCTAGCTTATTGTGTTGTTACCTATTGTTTGTCGTCCTGTTTTATTGTTTGTTTTAATTGTCTCATGTTTTTACTGACTGTGAAGCACTATGGTCAACACTGTTGTTTTAATATGTGCTATATAAATAAATATTGATTTGAATTCTTAATTACTCTATGCTGATCCTTTGTACAGCCCTACAGTTCAACCTCTAAAACAAATTGTTTTAAGTCATCCCCCATTAACTTTCTTCAGACTGAAATTATTTTTTTATTTGCTTTCTTGTTTCCATGTAACAACCCCTTAACTTCTTCTTACTCAATGAAAGCAGACTAGGAGTAAGCCTTGAAGCTCTTTTCTGTCATATTTCAGGCCTTCTTATAGAACAAAATGACTTGGTGTGCATCAGATGTTAGTGAGGGTGATCTTTGACTATGTAGTTGCCCTTGGAAAAACTCATAAACTAACATACTGGTAGTCATCAAACCAGAACTTTATTTATATATACTGAGGTGTCAAAACTCTGTCATTAATGTTGTCTTTATGGGGGGAAAGACATAAACGGTTTCTTTTACTGATTACATGTTCTACTACTAGAGCATGTTTGCATGAATCACGGCTCAAAATCATCCTCACCTTATGGTACATCTAATATTTTCTCTTATCTTATGCCCCTTAGTTCTTTTTATCTTCTGACTCAAGTAAGCCATTTGAACACGATGCACCACAGAATGCCAAATCATTCCTACCTGTGGAAATTAAACTCTTTATGGGTCTATCTGTGGGTTTAATCTTTACAACTCCTCCGGGATTATATTCACTTGTAATATCTTGTTTACAATATCTTGTTTACTTCTTTCTTGTACATGCATCACTTACTTTGTAATATTTTATTCAACATTACTCTTTGAGGGCCTTATTATTTATATAGAAGATTTACATGCTCCATCTTTCATACTTGTATTTTAATTGAGCATCTACAACAAAACTATTTTCTCCTGGGGTTAATAAAATATTCTGATCTGACTGAGGTGAACAGCTACACTAAGTCTTTATACAGGGAGTGCAGAATTATTAGGCAAATGAGTATTTTGTCCACATCATCCTCTTCATGCATGTTGTCTTACTCCAAGCTGTATAGGCTCGAAAGCCTACTACCAATTAAGCATATTAGGTGATGTGCATCGCTGTAATGAGAAGGGGTGTGGTCTAATGACATCAACACCCTATATCAGGTGTGCATAATTATTAGGCAACGCCCTTTCCTTTGGCAAAATGGGTCAAAAGAAGGACTTGACGGGCTCAGAAAAGTCAAAAATAGTGAGATATCTTGCAGAGGGATGCAGCAGTCTCAAAATTGCAAAACTTCTGAAGCGTGATCATCGAACAATCAAACGTTTCATTCAAAATAGTCAACAGGGTCGCAAGAAGCGTGTGGAAAAACCAAGGCGCAAAATAACTGCCCATGAACTGAGAAAAGTCAAGCGTGCAGCTGCCAAGATGCCACTTGCCACCAGTTTGGCCATATTTCAGAGCTGCAACATCACTGGAGTGCCCAAAAGCACAAGGTGTGCAATACGCAGAGACATAGCCAAGGTAAGAAAGGCTGAAAGACGACCACCACTGAACAAGACACACAAGCTGAAACGTCAAGACTGGGCCAAGAAATATCTCAAGACTGATTTTTCTAAGGTTTTATGGACTGATGAAATGAGAGTGAGTCTTGATGGGCCAGATGGATGGGCCCGTGGCTGGATTGGTAAAGGGCAGAGAGCTCCAGTCCGACTCAGACGCCAGCAAGGTGGAGGTGGAGTACTGGTTTGGGCTGGTATCATCAAAGATGAGCTTGTGGGGCCTTTTCGGGTTGAGGATGGAGTCAAGCTCAACTCCCAGTCCTACTGCCAGTTTCTGGAAGACACCTTCTTCAAGCAGTGGTACAGGAAGAAGTCTGCATCCTTCAAGAAAAATATGATTTTCATGCAGGACAATGCTCCATCACATGCGTCCAAGTACTTCACAGCGTGGCTGGCAAGAAAGGGTATAAAAGAAGAAAAACTAATGACATGGCCACCTTGTTCACCTGATCTGAACCCCATTGAGAACCTGTGGTCCATCATCAACTGTGAGATTTACAAGGAAGGAAAACAGTACACCTCTCTGAACAGTGTCTAGGAGGCTGTGGTTGCTGCTGCACGCAATGTTGATGGTGAACAGATCAAAACACTGACAGAATCCATGGATGGCAGGCTTTTGAGTGTCCTTGCAAAGAAAGGTGGCTATATTGGTCGCTGATTTGTTTTTGTTTTGTTTTTGAATGTCAGAAATGTATATTTGTGAATGTGGAGATGTTATATTGGTTTCACTGGTAAAAATAAATAATTGAAATGGGTATATATTTGTTTTTTGTTAAGTTGCCTAATAATTATGCACAGTAATAGTCACCTGCACACACAGATATCCCCCTAAAATAGCTAAAACTAAAAACAAACTAAAAACTACTTCCAAAAACATTCAGCTTTCATATTAATGAGTTATTTGGGTTCATTGAGAACATGGTTGTTGTTCAATAATAAAATTATTCCTTAAAAATACAACTTGCCTAATAATTCTGCACTCCCTGTAATGAGGTGCTGCAACTCTGCAGTGTAAATGATCATTCAATTAGCAGAGGGATTTTTTTTTTTTTACGTAGCTTTAAGGACATAAGACTTAGACACTGAAGTTTAACAAATGACTTACTGGATTACTGGACTTATTGCAGAGCTCCTCTTCATCATTGTCTTCCATGCCTATTTTCAAAAGAAAGAAAGAAAATGCCACCCTAAAACAATGTTTGAAAACTTTGCAAACCCCAACCTTTCATGTGACTCTTTACTCATTAAATCTTTGTTCTCTCCAGCTGATCGAAACGAGGTCACAGAGCAGAAATCTGGGTTAAAGATCACCTCCAGCTCTCACTGACTGTTGGTAACCAGACACTCCCTCCCGCGCTGACACACTGCAACCCTGCCGCATGCGTATCTATATCTGAATTAGTACAAAGCTCGACATGGGGAAAGACAACGTTTTCACTTTGTTTACTAAACTTACTTCTCGCTTATTTGCTTGTCATCATATAAAAGATCCAAATACAACACGGATCATAACGAGGCTGATCCTGGTTGACGGGATTCCAACGTAATATGGAAACAGCGTCTACCTACAGTTCCAGCCTTACCTTTAATATCACATTTAACTTTAACTGTAAAGTTGTAATTCTCATTTTTGCATGTGTGTGTAGCTCTGTTCCGTTACCCAAGAGGACAATGGAGTGGAAAAGAAACACTAAACTAGTAGGTCTGCGGTGACAGAGTCCCTAGTGAGAAACCGCAAGATACAATCTCTAGCTTACCTTTTTAGACTAAAGTCAAGCAAAGAATGTTGCCATGTACCTTTCTTATGCCAAAGTTTTTACGTTTACGTGCTTTCCAGTTCTTTGGAAAAAGCAATCTAAATGTCCTGTCATACCTATCAAAATAAAACCTCTCTTAACAAAAGGCTACAGCAACACCGAATAGAATATACGATTTTTTTTTAAAGATGTCGAATGAAAAACAATAGCTTTTATAATAGAAATTATACCCATAGTTCATTTGAACACGGACAATTTTTTTAAAATCTTTTTATATGCTAACATGTTTATGAAATATTTAGCTGTGTGGGTTGCATCCTTCGAAGCATGCAGCCCTTGAGCACACAGCTTTTATTTTGAAGGGCTGTTTCTCCACTCATGGGCTCTGCGTAGTTGTCTTAAATGACGTACCTCCAATCACTGGCAGCGAAACAAGCATCTCGTATTTTGATTGGTAGATGGTGCCTAATGTCGTCCAATCACCAAACAGTTTGTTAGATAGTGAAGCAGCTCGATAGCGTTGGGCTGACGGTGTGGTGAAGGTGAGTGAAGTCGAATATTTTATAGATATATAAATATGAATGTAACAATTTCTGAATCTGCAGTTCATCGAAAATTCAAATAATATCCAGAATTTTATCTGAAATTAATTATGAGCTCGAAAGCAGCATTACATTTAGCTATCATTTAAGTTGTTTGCTAGTTAGCAAGCTAACCAGTGAACAAGTTACAGAAATCAGCACTTAAGGTTTCTTACTAAACTGTAATGTAACGCATGTTGACCCTAATCCTAACCCAGAGTGCAGTCTGAACAGTAAAGCATCACTGTTACCTGACTACCAAGTGAAAAATGAAAGTAATTTTTGTGTATTGATCGTCAATATTCTAACAGGATTTTGTCCATCTTCCCTGGCAGTGTATTTGGCTATTTCATGAGGTGGTGTATACCCACTCTTTATTAAAATCAACGCTTTTGTTTTTACTCTCTTCTGTCCTGTAGGAAGGCTGTGCCAGCATGGGTGTGTTATCCACGCTGATGAGGGGGCTGGTGCGAGGTGCTGACAGGATGTCTGAGTTCACGAGCAAGCGTGGATCAAGGACTCATAATAAAGGCAGGGGCGCCAGGCCCGCTGGACGGAATCTCCCCAGCTCCAAGTTTCTAGCCATTCGGGCCATGATTCCGGAGTTTGTGGTGCCTCCTTTGGAGGGATTCAAACTCAGACCATATGTCTCATACCGTGCCCCGAAAGGAACAGAACCTCCACTCACAGCACAGAGTCTGTTCGATGAAGTTGTGGCTCCTCAGATCAAACAGGACTTGGAAGCAGGCACTTTCAGCAAAGACCAGCTAGTGAAGTATGGATTTGAGCCCACACAGGAGGGGAAGCTCTTCAAGCTCTATCCAAAGAATTATGTACGTTAATGATGGATTTCCAAAGACTCGCTGATTCACTGGGGACTGAAAGCTGCAGATCAACTGATGAGGGCCCCTTCTAGAAAATCAACTACTACATAAACTGTTCAGGAAAAAGGCCTTGTCTTACAGGTTTTGTTATTTGATGACCTGGAAAAATAAAACAAAAAGCATGATTAATACTGCACAACTGTCAGATATTCATTATAATGGTTTGAGCTCCTGTTTTTTTTAAGTTATGAGTCTTCACTGAGGGACTGGTGATCTTGTTCAAGGGTATATGCAGACTAGCTACATGTGACATATTTCAAAGTTAAACACAGTGGTAATTATTCAGTTACCACATAATAGTTTGCTTTATTTTTCAGGCCATTAAGTACCTAAAATTGCACTTACCTGTACTCTAATGTCCACTTGAGACCGGCTAAAAGTGAATCAATCCTCAGACTCATATTACAATAAACAACATTAAAAAGCATAATTATAGTCTGGTACAAATAGTTTTGTTCTGTAGGTAGGTTCATTATATCTCTACATTGAGACGAGTAACTTCTAAGGGTGGCCGCTTTAGTTCAGATGAAGGCAGCTGTAGCCGATTGCAGTGGGTTAGGGCTCACATGTGCTAACTGGAGTCACTAAACTGAACCGAACCTCTTGAACAGGTTTGTGCAGTATTATATTTGTGTTCTCACTTAATATAAAATTATTACTGATTGTCGCATGTGGTGTGATCTTAACCTGAATATCACCAAAATTAAATCAACTTGATTTAAACCACCAAAATAATATCTTGAAAACTGGATGCTACACTGCTAAGTGCTAACAAACAGAATTCTCCCTTCAAGGGGAGAGTCACCTGACAAACAACATGGCCTGTTATAATTTTTATGGGTGCATTTCTGATATTTTGTCCTGCTCCTTAACATTAACAATTAGCTGCTATGTTTTTTGATTCAACTTTAGGGATGCAGCTTGCCAAGTGGGCATCTTGACCCTATTTTAGCCCCACAACAACCACCTCACACGACCCTGCAGCTGGTCTGGGCTAAAGAAGAAAAAAACCAAACAAAGAACATGTGTAGGTGAATGGTTGTATTGCGCTTGTAGCTACAGTACACACGAGTATGAGGATTATAAACTTCTTTTTTTTTTTTGCTTAAATACAAGTTTATATTAAAAAAAAAAAAATCAGTGTCACTATGAAAATAGAGGGTCTTGCTAATTGCATATAATGTGATAAGTCATTCCAAAGTATAGGAATCTTCATGATAAAAACAGTGACTGGAATAACAGCATGACATGCTCTTGCTGTAGTCAGGCTATACATTTAGATTTCAATAGTGTCAACATTGCTATGACTCCTGTAAAGCCTGGTCTGGCATCCAGTCCCAGCGCCACACGTGGAGCATGTGGTCATAGAATGAGCAGCTGGCCAGCAGGCAGGACAGTGAGGGAGCATCCTCATCAGGGTTGAGGGTGGGAACTGGAGCAGGGGAGGTCTGAAGTGCTGCAATTCCCTCTGGGATGTATCGACCAGCATCGTCCTCCAGGGAAGTGTCAAAGCTGGCAGTGGGAGATTCATATTGAATCCTTAAGTGTCCTCGGTTCTCTGCAGGGCTTTCCTTTGGTTCTGTGGCAGGCGGGGAACAGGCAGTATGGTCCTCCAGGGACAGCCTGGACCAGTCTGCTCCATATGCCAAGGAACTGTGGAGGATGTATGAGGTTACAATGGGGCATGCTCCTGCACTGCCCTCTGTAAGTAAACAAACAGTAAGTTATTAAAAACCCCCCACAGATTTCTCCTGGTAAAAACAACCATTTGTACAATATGTGAGGTCTACTGATGTTTCAGGTAGAGAAGGAAGCCTTTCACCATTCAAAGCTATTTACACTGCCAGCACCATTCACAGAATCTTTCCTATCAAACACAAACACCATTTTGGCGTGTTTGGCATCCATCTGTTTCAGACAGTTTTTTTTTTTGTGTGTGTTACACACCCCTTGGCAAACATGGACATGTGTCCATGTTTGATTTGAGAAATTGAGGACACAGAGAATGTCATCAGGAAAGCATTTCGTGAGGCAACAGATTTATAGAGCAGTATGCTCATTTTCCCATACATTTTTATAGAGTCAGACTTCTTTTCACGACAAGGAGTGGCTCCCTGCTGGCCATTAGAAAGAATGCAGGTTTAAAATGCTACATGGTTTGCCTTTTCAGGCCTGGACTCTAGTCCATCGTTTTTAAAGAGCCTATAAAAAAAGCAAAAAGGTATATGCTCTGTTGCTTAATTTCTTCAAATTGTGCAGTATCTATAAATAGTAATGATGAGTTCATTAAGCTACCTTTCCGCTCTGAGAAGCTAAAAAGACGGCTAAGATCAATTATAATTAGACAATTGTCAAACAATTCTCATATTTAAGAAGCTGAAACTAGACCGGTCTCTGGAGTCCAAACCAGCTAAACTAGGCAAGAGCCCACGCAGGCTGTCAGTCCAATGGGAGAGACAGAATCACCACAAAGTGTGAGGTTCAAACACACCTAGAGCCTGCTGACAGTGAAGGATGTGGAAGTCATTATGCATGCAGGCTGCCAGCAGCAGGTGCTGATGGCTGGGATGCCACTTCAGTCTCCACACTCCACCACCCAATGGAGTCTCACTCAGGGGCTGCCGCATGTTTCGGCCATCCCACAGCAAAACCTGCTCATCGTAACTGTGGAAGGAGAAGTGCGTGAGAGGAGCAACAAGTATACAACTCTTACACAACAACAGCTCAACATCAGGATATTTACCTGCCTGTAGCCAGAATGTGCTCCCGATGAGGGTTGCTGTGAATACTGCACACACCCATCGAGTGCCTTTGAAAGAAAACAACATAAATTTGTGTCTGCACACTGTCAAAATGGAATATATACATGAAAACTGATACACTATCAACCTCACCTTTTACTTATGAAAGTGGGGCTGGAGGGACCGATCCTTAAATCCCAACCTTTCAGTTTACAGTCATCACCACCTGGTGAGAAAACAACACATGACACAGCACAGGAGAATATTTAGATGGCCGATTTAGAGGCAGCATCAATGTGAGCTCACAAACTACCCGTGTAAGGCACACAAATTGGTGGCACATATGTATGATTTAAAGTCATGATAAAAAAAATAAAGTACACCATATCTGAAATCTAAGGTTTTATATACAAGGACAAAAAATATCATCTGCTTCTTAGGAGAGGTTACAATAGGTAAGTACAACATCAGATAAACA